AGTGTGTCATAGAATAAATGCATAAACCAGTAAGTTTATTATCATTGATCTATTGCATATTGTACATAATTGTATTGCTTTTGTTTTGAAAAATGCTTATTTAGTTATTTGAAAGGGTATCATAGAGAGAAACAGAGAAAGAGAGAGAGATTGAGAGAGAGTTTCCATCTGTTTTTGCTTCTCAAAAGGCCACAACTGGTGCTGGGCTAACCTGGAACTCCATCCTGGTCTCCGTCATGATGGCAGGTGCTGAACAGGCCATTATCTCCTGCCTTCACAAGGGCATTGGTAGGGAGCTGGATCACAAGTGGAACAGTGGGGACTTGAACGATACTGTTATAGGATGCCGTCATCACAGGTGGAGCTACACCTGCTGAACCACAATGCCAGAGCCTGTGCTGTATTTTACTTAGTTAGTTCTGTATGCTTTTGCAAGATTTATTTGTTTATTCAGAGTTACCAAGAGAGAGGGAGAGCTCTTCCATTGGTTCACTTCCCAGATGGCCACAATGGCTAGGCTTGGGCCAAATCAAAGCTAGGAGGCAGGAGCTTCATCTGACCTGGTCCGTGTCCGGCCTGGGCCAGGTGCCCCCCTCCTTAGACAACCTAGAGACCCCGGGGTCCACCAGGAACCCTATGTTGGTACCAAGCCCAGTGTGGACGCCCGCTCCACACAGTACTGCAGCTCCAAACTCCCGAGCACTCGCGATCTGCTGGCCTCTGCCCCCTGAGGAGCTGGGATTACAGGCGTGTACCACCACGCCTGGCCAGGAGCTTCTTCTGAGCCTCTCATATGGGTGGCACAGGCCCAAGCATGCGGGTAATCTTGCACTGCTTTTCTCACAGGCATCAGCAGAGAATCGGATTGGAAGCGGGGGTGGGGGGGGTAGGACCTCGCTCACACAGAATGCTAGCACAGCAAGTGGCAGCTTTGCGTGCTATGCCACAACACCAGCCTCTTATTTTTTAAAGATTTGTTTATTTTAAAGGCAGAGTGAGAGAAACTGAGAGACAGATCTTTCATCAGCTGTTTCACTCCCCAAATGACCCAAATAGCCAGCTTTATATGCCTTACATTGTTAGACACTGAAGTATGATAAAAAGTAAATGTTATTACGGCGCAGCACTGGCCCTTGCGGTCACTTGGTGAGTGACTCATCTGACGGACGATCTTCCTCTCTATTTCCTCCTCTCTATATATCTGACTTTGCAATAAAAATAAAATAAATCTTAAAAAAAAACACATGTGTACGGACAGTTAATTCTCTACCTCCAAACATCAGCATCCCACATGGGCGCCAGTTCATATCCTGGCTGCTCCACTCCCCATCCAGCTCCCTGCTCGTGGCCTGGGAAAGCAGTCGAGGACGGCCCAAAGCCTTGGGACCCTGCACTTGCCTGGGAGACCCGGAAGAAGCTCCTGGCTCCAGATCAGGCAGCAGCTCTGACTGTTGTAACCATATGGAGAATGAACCAGCAAAAGGAAGATCTTTTTCTCTTTCTCTGCTTTTCTCTGTAAATCTGCCTTTTAAAACACAAAGAAGGAAATAAATATATACACCAAATGAGAAGCACATGAAAATGCACATGAAATGAAGTGTAATGTGCTTCACCAAGTGAGAAGCACATGAAAATGAAGTGTAATCTTCCATGTAGTAGCATTTTTAGTTATTTTAAATTAAATACTAAGGTATAACTTATGATTGTTTATTACATTTATGGGCAAAAAACATAAAAATAGCTTTTTCCCTTTTCTCAATGCCACTGCTTTCCTCAAAGTAGCAATAACTTAACAGTGGAATCATTCAGACCTTCTTGTATGTACCTGTGGGTATTTTTGCTTTGCTTTGTTTTCTGTCCATACTAAATGTCTTTTTTTAAAAAAAAAAAGCATCAGTGTAATTATTTATTTAATGTGAAAGGAGGAACACGTGGAAAGAAACAGAGACACAGAGATTTTCAGGTCACTGGTCCACTCCCCAAATGCCAACAGCCGGGATGGGGCAATGCCCGTTGAACTTCCTTTGTTCTTGAAGGAACAGTCCACAGGCAAGAACCTGAAAGCATATTTACACTCACGTGCCTACAGGAAGCATGCCACTGCTGCACACCTGCTCAGCTCGCTCAGCCTCACGTAGGGCAGAATATATACAATAAATACGTGTAATCAAATGACAGTAAGTAAAGCTTGCTTTATTTTTGCTATTTATAAGTTCAGCAAAATGTCATGTTCACTGGAATTATTTTTTCTTTTTTAAAAAAGATTTTATTTGCATACAGAGGGTGCAGGGGGAGAGAGGAGAGAGAGAGAGACTTCCACCGGCTGGTTTCCTATCCGAGCAGCTGTAGCAGCCAGGGCTGACAGGCACCAGGAACCTGGCAGTCTGTCTGGGCTGGCACATGGGTGGCAGCGCCCCAGGCACTTGGGCTGTCTTCCACTGCTTTCCCCGGACTTGTTAGTAGGGAGCTGACCTGCAGCAGAGCAGCTGGGACGCACACTCATGCTGATTCACACTCACGCTGAGGTGCAGGTAGAGGCTTAACTTACTGTGCCACAGTGCAGGATCCGATAGTACACTCTCTAATGATATAGTGACTTATCATTTTATTGAAATTTAACCTAGAAGTTTGGTTTTTAGAGCTGTGGTATAAACACTGTCAGCATAATGTATATATAGTTATCTATTGACATTTACTTGAGTAACATTTTTAAAATGTCATTTATATACAGGGGGGTCTATAACAGTTTTCTGCTTCATTAAAATTTGATAAATCTGGGTTGGGATAATTAAAAAAAAATTCTGAGAAAGGTTATGAAGTCAGGCCTCGTAACATTTTCATTTTATTTGCCATGAAGCACGTTGTTTTCTCATATTTCATGACGTGGTGAAATAACTGAATAAACATGTTAAGACCTACTCATCAGGAAACACACACATCTTTATAGGAGTCAGGAGCTGCTTCTAGGTCTCCCACGTGGGTGCAGGAGCCCAAGCACTTGGGCCAGCCTCCACTGCTTCTCCAGGCATGTTAGTAGGGAGCTGGGTTGGAAATGGAGTAACAGGGTCTTGAACTGGGGTCCACATAGCATTGCAGGGGGTGGGTTAACCCACTATGACACAATGCTAGCTCCACAAAAAAAATTTTTTAAATGTCTTTCATCAGATATAGTGGTGCATAAAATACAATATGTTCCTTCAAGAAATTATGTTGACAGTAAAATGAATTAGTGTGGGAATGAAGCATGAATAAATCTCAAGAGCATAATGATTAATAATAGAAGGATGCTAAATGATACTGTTTCGGTTCTAAAATGCTACATTTTTCACTCACACACAGTAATTACATACAACTGTTTTATGTGTCAGATCTCCCTGATTTCACCAAATAGCTCCTTTTCACTTTTTCCCCTCTTCTGTAAGTGGAAAAGCAGAATGTAAGAGTTATTAACACACAACATTTACACGGAAGGGGTTGCTGTTTTGCAGCATGAGCTAAACCGCGGTCTCCAGCACCAGCATGTCCTGCCCTTGTGCCAGTTTGAATCCTGGCTGCTCCACTGCCAATGCATCGGGGAAGGCAGTGGAAGATGGCCCTAGTGCGTGGGCCTCTGCCCTCACCTGGGTTCGGCAGTGCAGGCATATAGGGAGTGAATCGGTGGATGGGAGCTCTCTATTTCTCCTTCTCTCCATATTTCTATAAATAAAAAATAAATAAATAAATAAATAAGTTTGCCTTGGGTGTTTAGTTTCAATTGTTTTCAAATGGAAGATCTGTGGCAAATCTTGCACAGTGTGACACTTGTTAAGTCCGAGGGGGATAGGAAGTCTGCACATTTGAAACATTTACAATGAAAGAAAAATACAGTCCATTTTCTTTCTTCATAATTTTAGCAATATGCTCATCTCCCATTATTCAGTTCAAATAATGTGCGGGTCTCCCATGCAGGTGCAGGGTCCCAAGGCCTTGGGCCATCCTCATCAGCAGAGGTCCTGGCTTCTGGCTTCGGATCAGTGCAGTTCCAACCATTGAAGCCATTTGGGGAGTGATCAGCAGATGGAAGATCTTTCTGTCTCTCCTGTGTAGTTGTATCATTAAAAAAAAAGGGGGGGGGCGTTGAGACTGTCTCAGCGCTCTGGAAATTAAGCATTTTGGTGGATGCACTAGTGTCTTAATGGAACTGAAGAAAATATTTGGAGGGGAAATGTCAGGAAGGGGCGGGATGACTCAGCGGTCCCACCTAGTGCAGGGCTGTATTTAAGTCCTGCCTTGGGTCCCTTAGCCCCTTTCAGTAATGCACCTGGGCGGGCAGTGGAAGTTGGTCCACACGGGAGAGATGAGGATCCTAGCTTCAGCCTGGTCTGGCTGCTGGTCATTGTGGATCCCTGGGTAGTCAACCTGCAGATGGAAGATCCCGTAACTCTAAATTTCAAAAATAAATGTGTGTGTGTTTTTTTTTTTTTTTTTTCAAAAAGGAACATAGCAGTGCCCGCCACACTGACCTTGTCCCGCCTCGCCTCCCGGGCGGCCCCTGCCGGCAGGCACGCAGGCGGGTGTCCAGGCTCCAGCGGCCGCCCCGGACGGGCTGAGCTGCGCTGCTGGAAGCCGCCCTGCCGCCCCGAGCTCCCTAAGAGCTTCCCACATTCCCATCTGGTTTACTTGAAATCTGCCGCTGCTCTTCTCCCTAGAACCTGGCCAGGACCTTCCCTAGGGGTGCCGGGGCCATGGGCAGGAGGCGGACCCGAGCCACCGGCTCACAGCAAGTAGGGGAGGTGGGCTAGGTCCGGCCTTTCCTGAGGCTCCTCGCCCTCAGGGTGCTCGGGGACCGGTCGCTCACCCGCTCAGCTTGAATACCTAACTGCACTTGGCTCACCCGTGCAGGCTTCCTGAGCTGTGGACTTTTACCGCCTAGCTTTCAGTTGCGCGCGCGAAGCCGCAACACACCTTCTGGCGCTGCACTCAGCGTTACCCGGTGGGCAGCTGAGGCTCCTTCCCATTGGATACTGCATCCCGCCGAGCACAGCGTCCTCCAATGGGAGACGGAATCCGGCTAGCCCTCATTTGCATAGACGCCACTATATATCTCTCTCCAGAATTCCGCGCCGCATTTTACCGCCTAGAAGCTACCGGCTGCTCGAATCGACGGTAACAACCTAGGGATAATTCATATAGCCCTGTAGCGAAACGTCCTCGACTTAGGAGGCAGAGAGCTGCCGACAAACATGGCTAGGTCCGAGAGCCCTTTCAGGGTCAGTGTGTGGAAGCTAGGGTGTAAAATGGACTCGGCCCACGATTCCATTACCCCGTCCAGTCACCACTGCCCCGAGCCCAGCTTTCAAGCTCGTCCTATAAATGCCACACTAAATCCTTGCTCCATAAGGGAAAAGCTCTTCCACGCGACACTCCCACCCCTGAGCCCAAGGAGGCGCGGATGATCCGCCAGCGTGTGTACAGCTCTTTTGTTGAAGTGTTGGGGGGCCCTGAAAAGGGCCTTTGGGAACTCGGGGGGCTGGCGGGGGCTCAGCCGCCGAAGCCGTAGAGCGTGCGGCCCTGGCGCTTGAGCGCGTACACCACGTCCATGGCCGTGACGGTCTTGCGCTTGGCGTGCTCCGTGTAGGTGACGGCGTCGCGGATCACGTTCTCCAGGAAGACCTTGAGCACCCCGCGCGTCTCCTCGTAGATGAGCCCGGAGATGCGCTTGACGCCCCCGCGGCGGGCCAGCCGGCGGATGGCGGGCTTGGTGATGCCCTGGATGTTGTCCCGCAGGACCTTGCGGTGACGCTTAGCGCCGCCCTTGCCGAGCCCTTTGCCCCCTTTGCCGCGGCCGGACATCTCAAAGAACTGAGCGGAGAACGACAAAGAACGACAAAGAACGAAGCCCGACGTTGCTGCGCCGCTGCAAAGCGCAGCCGGCCCCTATATAGCCGTGCTGCGGACCTGTTTGAGAACATGCAGAGTGGGCGTGCCCCTAAGCCCCGCCCCCGGGGACTTTCCACCCAGACAAAGCGGGAAACAAGCCGTGGCAGGAGTTGCAGTTTGTTTTTTTAGGGGGAAATGAATGGAGATGTTTTCGAGATAAATTTGAAGATAAGTAACCTTGATATTTTCGAAGGTGTATATAATGTGACGGGATGGAATCACATGTTCTCAGCTGCAGAACTGGACCCACTCAGCCGGCCCCTGACGCACGTCCCTCCTCCTTTGCTTGCCAAACCTTCCCCACGCCCCAAGGACGGCTACTCAATGCCATTCCTGAGTTACTGAGAATATCTGCAGGAACTAGCAAACTTTTACAGTTCACTAGGTCTTCCTACGCCTTTTCACCTGTGGATCTTAGGGTGGGCAGAGAGGAAATTATTTTTTCTCTCTTTTGTGACCCTACGGAGATAGAAGTAAAATACTTTCCGTAGCCCAGCCCGACCCCACCTGCCGCCTCTGCTTCCCACTGTTCTGAACATTTTCGAAGAGATAAGAATCGTGCTAGTACACTTATTTATATTTACTCTTCTAAGACATCAAACCTAGAATATTTTCAAATTAGAAATCTTTGTTTGCCAGAATAATAACCAAAAAAAAAAGTTGTGGCCAACGTAATGTTTTTAAAAATTGCTAAAAAGCTTTCCTTGGTATAGACATAAATTTATTTTTTTTAAAATATTTATTTTTATTGGAAAGTCAGATATACAGAGAGGAGAGACAGAGAGAAAGATCTTCCATCCGATGGTTCACTCTCCAAGTGGCCACAACAGTCGGTGCTCAGCGGATCGAATTAAAGCAAAAACGCAGCAGCGAGCGCGAACGTTGAAACCTCAGCTTCCACCTTTTTCATCTGGTTTCTCACAGCGGAGCGTTCCGGCTCCTCCGGAGTATTCATATGGACGGATATGTAAATGAAGTGACCGCGTTTGCTCTTCTGATTGGAGGCAACTGGAGGAGGCGGTTCCTCTACCAGCACGCCAATTGGGAGCGGAGCCTGCCCGTCATTCGCCACTGAAGCCGAAAATACTGAGGCGCCCAATGGGAAGGCGCTGCCTCGCGGCCACAGAGTTTGTAGGCAGTTCCGGTGTGACTCGCTTCACTCCCGCACCGGACTTGGCTCCTTGTGTTTTCATTTTTTTTTTTCCTCTCCTGGCTGGAATCTGAGGTGACCATGTCCGGTCGTGGAAAGCAGGGCGGCAAAGTGCGGGCCAAGGCCAAGTCCCGCTCGTCGCGCGCGGGCCTGCAGTTCCCGGTGGGCCGAGTGCACCGACTGCTGCGCAAAGGTAACTACGCCGAGCGGGTGGGCGCGGGCGCGCCCGTGTACCTGGCCGCCGTCTTGGAGTACCTGACGGCCGAGATCCTGGAGCTGGCGGGCAACGCGGCGCGGGACAACAAGAAGACGCGCATCATCCCTCGCCACCTGCAGCTGGCCATCCGCAACGACGAAGAGCTCAACAAGCTGCTGGGCAAAGTGACCATCGCCCAGGGCGGCGTCCTGCCCAACATCCAGGCCGTGCTGCTGCCCAAGAAGACCGAGAGTCAGAAGGCCAAGAGCAAGTGACCAGCCTGGACAGCTGGCCCTTAGACCCCGGAAACCCGCCTCGGCAGAGCCTCTCAACGCCGTCCTGCGGTGGTGTGCATCTGGACTGTGCTGGAGGTCAGGGAGGGCCGGCGCCATCCCGCGGGGAGATGGACGGCGAAGGGGCCCGCCCGGGGGGCCAGCAGCCAATAAAGTCGGTGAAAACCGTGTGGTCGAGAGCGCTGTGTGGTCGCCGGAAACTGGTGGGTGGCCCTGGGGGAGGGCAGGACATGGCAGGCGCCCTGGGGACCCCCACAGCAGGTGCAGGTGGATTGCCATGAGCCCTACAGGTCATTTTGAGGCGTTAGGAGAACTTGAGGGACCCTGGGGACCCGGAGGAGGACAGGGGAAGGAGCTCCCTGTCGGACGTTGGGGCGGAGAGCAGGTGCGGCATGGCGGACTCTGGAATCAGTTTTTCCTCCCTCTTGCCAGGGCCTTCACCCTCCTGCCCTGTTGGTAGCCAGTCAGAATCAAGTTCCAGGAAGAGAACCAACCCTTGGGGAACTTGGTGTCGCTGACTCGTGCTTTCCAAAAGATGGAGTAACTTCCCGTCGGCGGAGGGTGGTTCTCGTCGGGGAGTGGATCTCGGCTTCAAAGGTTCCAACCCTCCTGGCTGTTGCGTCTTGTTTGGGGCGTCTGGTGTGTTAATGGTGTGTTTTGCTCATTTTCACTGCTTTACCATGAAAGCAGCAGCCAGCACCATGTGTAGTACAGATGCGTGAGTCACGGGACTGGACATTCGTCCCCCTGACCTGTTGCATAACTTGTGCTGCGCCCTTTACTGGTGAAGTACATATGTTGACGTACGTTTAAGCTGATTTTCTCATTTCTGGCTTCGTCATGGGTTTTGTCTTCATCTTATCCTCTTTGGGAAATTGGTTTGAGTTTGTTCCACAGGAAAAAGCCAGCTCGCCTGGCTTGGAGGGATTATTCGTAATCCCTTCTGTTCTCCCACTAGCGGGAAGCCAGTCTCATTCCAGGAATGCTGGGAGCCTTGCTGGCACAGCCATGCTTTCATAAACGTGAGGGCGAAGGTTGGGCCAATCAGGTGTGGGCAGAGACACGTTTCAGGTCAGGAATCTGCTACTGATCTCCTCGCTGGCCCTTCCTGTTTTCTCCTCAGCAAACTTGATGCTGGCCCCCAGGGTCCGTGGAAAAGTCCCCAGTTGAGATTTCTCCTCTTGGGGTTCATCTTTCTTGTGAGTCAGAGTTGGAGTGTCCTGGGGCTTGGGGAGCATGGAGAGTAGGTGTCTCTCCTTAGTGGGCTGTTTCCCCCGTGGACTTTATCTCATTCCCGGCGTTTATTGAACATCAGGGCTGTGCTAAGGGATGGAGCCGCAGCTGAGAACCAAGGCCAAAACAAAGTTGTCAGAGATCAGCTTTCGCCGGCTCCCTGCTGTTTGTGGAGCAACCAAATGGTGGGATTACCCGTAGGTCTCTGAGTGTGCGCTGGTCAGGCCACACATGGCCCTGTTGGAAGGTAGATCGCTGGCTCCTAATTCCTGAGCATGGAGCCCGCCAGTACCAGGATGTGGGCAGCTAATCGCTTACTCCCTACTGGCTCTGGTATCTGCATTGAGGGATTGAGATTGTCCATTGAGATTGTACCACGTGTTGCCCATTGTGCGCTGGAAGAAATACTGTTTCTCGGGGGGTGGGGGGAGATGTGCTTGCCATTATGGGTAGCCACAGATAATAGAGCATTTAAAAAAAATGTTAACCATGAATTCTTTCGTTACTACTTGGAGGCAGTGGGGGAAAAATATACACACAGTTGACTGTATCTATGGTTTACATTGGCCAGTTCAGGCAACTGCAGGTCAAAAATAGGTCTCTGCTGACCTTGAGAAGGTGTTTTCTTGTCATTAGTCCCAAAGGCTCTAGCAGCTGTTTGCCTGTGTTAGGTTGTATAAGAAATCTGGGCATGTTTTGAAGCCTAGGGGAAGAAGTGTGTCCGTTGAAGGTCCTTTGAACACCTGCAGACGCGGGCACAGTCCCCTACAGATGTCATGGACCAGCTGGTCTTACATCTCAAGTGCTGGTTCTGACGTGTGAGTCTAATTTCCTAAAGATGAGCGGACTCAGAGGTTGTTACTGAAATGGTGATGGAATAGGGCAAGGGGCTGTGACCTTGCCTCTGCAGATTCCCCAAGGTGCTGTCTAGCCCCAATACCCGAAACGCAAGACGGGGAAGATACTCGGTGTGGTAGCCACCCTGCTTCAGCCACACTGCTCTGGGATCCTTAGCAATCCTGTCTCCAAGTTCAACTGACTCACTTGTCCCATTTGGGGGAGGTGAGTTTTTAGTTTTCTTTCTTTTTAATTACTGTCTTGAGTTGAAAGGCAGAGCTATAGGAAGAGACGTCTTTCATTTGGTTTCCCTCTTAAGTGGCCACAGCAGTTGGGGTCGGGCCTGGCCTCAGCCAGGTGCCTGGAACTTCTTGGTCTCCCACATGGGTGGCTGGGGCCCCAGCAGCTGGGCCATCTGCTGCCCTCCCTGGAGCATTCGCAGGAAGCTGGATTCAAACTGACTCTCCAATAGGAGATGCTGGAATTGCAAACAGCCCACTGTGCTGTAACTCTGGCCCCTGGGAGTCTTTTTTTTTTTTCCCCCATGACCACCTGAATAATTTGTTGGCAGTTAGAAAGGTGTGTCTCCTGCAGAATCAGTTCAGCTCATGACCCCTGATAAATGTAGGAGTGTTTGTTTAAAAGGTCAGGAGACCATCTGGCAGAAGACTTAAGGCAAAAAGTGGTGGAAAGTGAGCACAAGTTTTTAATGGATTTATAATCCATAGATTTGTTTATACACATGCTTGTTGCTACCAAGATAAGCCCTTGAGCATGGCAGGCTGTGGCTTGGTCAGGATATGCTTGATCTTTGTGTTTCCTGCATAGCCAGTCTCGCCTTTGTGTCCCAGAGAACTGGTCTGTTTAGTTTTGTCTGTCTGGGATGACCAAGTTTAGCCTGGCTTCATAGTTTGTGAAGACGGGCAGCCTTGCAGATCTTTCCAAGGCTCAAACAGTGAGGTTAAACAAAGAGGTGTCAAATAGTTCACCAAGGGGGAATGAAAGGTACATTCATTAATGAAATCCATGTCCTTTTTTATAATGCACGTTTTTCATAAAGGTTTTGAAGAGTATATATATATATAATTTTACTCTTTTTTTGCAACACGATAAATATCTTTTCACTCCATTTTGCCATGGACTTTTTGAAATGCCCTGAGTACCATGGTGTTTACAAACTCAAGTTGCCTGATATGAGATTTAGGTTCTAATTTAATCTGCTCTTTTTTAGTTATCTGACTTTAGAAACCATTAGCCTCAGTTTCATCTGCAAAATGGGCCTCAAGATTGGTCAGGTTTTGTGGAGGATTCAGTGAGACAGTGTGAGTGAGGTTACCAGGTACATTTCCATTCAATAACTAGTATCTTTATTCTTGTTTCCATGAGAAACCATGGATAGAGTAAGAAGTGGTTGTTACGGATCCTGGTCAAACAGGTAAACCTGGCAGTCTGGGCATCCTGGACTTGAGTGGATGTTGTCCTCATTCTAGGATGTTTGTAATTCTTTTCCTCCCACCAAAGAGCCTAGTTTGGAATGAGTGGCTTGGCCAGCGCAGCCACCCAGGTTGAAAGTGGAACCTGTGTATTCAACATTCAACATTCATTGCGTAACAGCACGTGTTACATCTGTGATTGGTTCGCAGCTGTCCTTATGGTGTAAACACGCACTCGGAGAGAGACAGAATGTAGTGAGGGAAGACGCTCGGGGTGTGGAGAACTGGGGTTATTGTGTCACCTGGTGGGCAGTGACAGTTAAGGGTGTCAGTGAGCTGAGGGGCCACATACCTACAGCTGTGTTTGAATTTGTTCTAGGAAAAGCGATCTGGCCTGGAAATACAATTTTTGTTGTTGTTGTTAAGATTTATTTATTTTTGGGCCCAGTGTGATAGTCTAGTGGTTAAAGTCCTCACCTTGCGTGCCCAGGATTCCATATGGTCACCAATTCTAATCCCAACGGCCCCACTTACCTTCCAGCTCCCTGCTTGTAGCCTGGGAAAGCAGTGGAGAATGGCCCAAAGCCTTGGGACCCTGCACCTGTGTGAAGAAGCTCCTGGCTTCGGATTGGCTCAGCTTCAGACATTGCAGTCACTTGGGGAGTGAACCATCGGACGGAAGATCTTCCTCTCTGTCTCTCCTCCTCTCTGTATATCAGACTTTCCAATAAAAATAAATAAATAAGTAATTTTAAAAAAGATTTATTTTTGACATGTGTAGACAATGGGATGCTGGACTCTGACATTGTCTGTGCCAGCAGTGTCGGGGTACACTTAAATAAGAGACTGATAGAATTATAATTCCTTATGAAGGACTACACCATTGTAGGAAAATGGGGAAAATTGTCGAGGTGGGAGTTTGGAGGGGTGGTCGGGAATCCCAGCCTATACGAAATTGTACCACTTAATTCAAAATGAAAGTATATTTTTAAAAAAGATGTATTTATTTTTATTGGAAAGGCAGATCAGATTTACAGAGAGGAGAGACAGACTGAGATCTTTTTTTTTTTTTAAGATTATTTATTTATTTAATTTCTGTCTAGGCCTTCCAGGCACCAAGAGCACAGCTACAGTCGGTCTAACGGGTTTGTATCACTGCCCTTTGCAGCAAGAGAGGATGTGCCCGGGGTAGGGTGGGGGTATGGATCGGGTCTGTCGCAGGATTTGTGTTTGTGTTCATCGGTTCAAGACAGCACGATGTCACTGCGGACGGATGAGTGAGTGCAGACCTGAGCAGGGCGAGCTGAGGCTAACGCGGTCCCTGGCGCACGTGCCCATGTCTGGGGTCGTTTTGGTGGCTCGGACGTCATGCTCGCGATCGTGGAATTTTTTTTTTTTTTCCCCTCACGCTTTCTCGATCTCTTTGTGTGGAGTTGCTGTTCTGTGAAATCGTTTCAACTGAGCACCTCGGCTGTAGCTGTATCCGGTCAGCTCCTAGTCAAAACAAGGCCGCAGCTGCTGGCCCTGGCAGTGGCCGCCGACAGGAGTTGCTTTTCCCTTTCTCAGCAGCTAAGGAAATAGGGGCGGCCTGGCTGTGGATGCCGGCGCCCTTGCCTGTAACTAACCATCAGGCAAAAGGAGCTGCCTCTCTTGCAGTGGTTTAGGTCCACTTGTTTGTACTTCCAGTGTAGAGACCCCTTAACTACAATCGGCTTGTTTGCATGCTGATCAAGGAACCGTTTCTCTTGAATTGATCTTTTCCTGTGTGTCTTCATAGGGCAAGAATGTTGTGTAACTTATGATTTCTTGCATTCTGAATAATAAACCATACTTGAAATTTGTCTTGTATTTGCATATAGTTAACATAAATTTTACATGCCTGAACTCATGTATTGATAAATACCATGATCACACCTGCCCTTCTTCCAAATTCCTGTCTCCCATCACCCAGACTAAATGAAAGACAAAGGCAAGAAAAGTCTGTGATGTGGTCTTTTCAGTGGAGCCCCCTGATCCTAGAGCTGGACAAACACCAAGTGCTAAGAAGGGATTTGGAGGGACCGACTTGTTAGCTGTTCGGATATAATGTGAGCAGGTGCCCACTGCCTTGGGGGAAGAATGTCATTGGACCTGTCATGGCATGTCAAATGCAACTCCTTTTTAAAAGATATATTTATTTATTTCAGATTTATTTATTTTTACTGAAAAGGTTTATATACAGAGGAGGAGAGAGAGAGGAAGATCTCTGGTCCAATGGTTCACTCCCCAAGTGGTCGCAATCTGAGCTAATCTGAAGCCAGGAACCAGGAGCTTTTTCCGGGTCTCCTACATGGGTGCAGGGTCCCAAGGCTTTGGGCCGCCCTTGACTGCTTTCCCAGGCCACAAGCAGGGAGCTGGATGGGAAACGGGACCACTGGGATTAGAACTGGAGCCATATGGGATCCTGGCATATTCAAGTCGAGGACTTAGCCGCTACGCTATCACACCAGGCACTACAAGTTGTATTTATTTTTATTGGAAAGGCAGGTTTGCAGAGTTTTAGCAAGAGAAAACCTAGCAGATGGAATTTCGATGGTTCCTGAAATTTTCTTAAAAGCATTGCTTAAATAGAGTCTGTGCAGGTTATGGAATCCAGCCTGTTTGCCTGCGGATCCTGCAGGAGACGCCTTGTGAGCGATACAAAACTGTCTCCCGGCTCTTCCGGCCGCAAGAATAGGAGCATGGAGGGTTCGCCCCAACTTTTCTTAAGTCTACTGACTGGTCCTAGCTCATCCTTACTGTAACTGCAAAGCACACTGGGAAATGCGGGAGAGTAGATGAAACATTTTGGCGAGTGCACTGTTGGTGTTCCTGGGAGCACTGTTGCTTAGCTCTTATTCTTAGCTTCGCTTTATTTAACCAGCTTCTAACATAGAGCCTGCCAATCAAGCAAGGTTCTTTTGAGTACAAGAACGACGCACAGAAGGCACAAATGCTTATCCTGGTTAGCGCATACGCGCGAGGGGCTCCTAATGCTCCCGGGCCGAGAACTTTATAGTTTTTGCCAAAGGAATCTTGTGGGTTGCGATAGGGAATGAAAATGGAATATTTCTGTCGTCTTGTAACAGTTAGGAGTTTATTGCTTTGAAACTCTAAATTCAGTCTTCAGCACCTGTGCTGACAGCAGAACTGTTGTAGGCATCTTTCTATTGTAGAAGACCTGAGGCTGCGTTTTCTCAGTGTTGGGGGGCACTGCAGGAACAGGTGTCTTTCCACTGGGTATCAGGTAAAAGGAGTCATTTTTCACCTTTTCATAGTAACTCAAGATTTTTAAAAATCACTATCTGGTAAAAGAACTCTCCAGTACAAATATGGATTTAAAATACCTTCTACTGTGATCTGCTTAGAGTGCATTTAAGAAGTCTTTGGAGTAGGCCCAGCACAGTAGCCTAGCGGTTAAAAGTCCTCACCTTGCATATGCCAGGGAACCCAAACGGGTGCTGGCTGCTCACGTCCTTTCCAGCTCCCTGCCTGTGGCCTGGGAGAGCATTCGAGCACAGCCCAAGTCTGGGGACCCTGCACCAACATGGGAGACCCAAAAGAAGCTCCTAACTCCTGGTTCTTGGGCTTCGGATCAGCTCTGCTCTGGCCATTGCAGTCACTTGGGGAGGAAACAAGCTTTGTGTCTTTCCTTCTCTCTGTAAAATCTGACTAATAAAAATAAGTACATCTTTTAACAAAAAAAAAGTTTTAGGAGCAGGATTTGGATTTGTTCTTGACCCGTGTCCTATTTCCTTCTCATTCAGGACATTGAACAGGATTCTTCATTTTAGATTTGTTTTTATTGGAAAGGCAGATCAGATTTACAGAGAGAGGAGACAAAGAGAAAAGATCTAACATCTGTTCACTCTTCAGTTGCCAGAGCTAAGCCAATCTGAAACCGGGAGCCAGGAGCCTCTTCCAGGTCTCCACACGGCTGCAGCGTGTCCAAGGGTAGAAGCAGGGAGCTGGTTGGTAGTGGAGCAGCTGGGACACAAACTGGTGCCTATATTGGATCCCAGCATATGCAAGGTAAGGATTTAAACAATGCGCCATCATGCCAGACCTGACGGGCATTTTTTGAAAGTGTTTTCTTTACTTTGGAGCTACACTTCTTCCTTCTGTATGCACAAACTTTGGCTGTCACCTTTTCTCTATTCCATTTTCTAGTATCGTGGTTGCTTTGGCCAGTTCTATAATACTATAGCTAATTCTCTTTATCCTTGAATTCTTATTTTTGAGATTCTATGGATGAAATATATTTTTTCCTTCAGAATAGTTATAAAACCAAAACTTTCTTTTTTTAAAGATTTTATTTATTTTTACTGGAAAGGCAGATATACAGAGAGGAGGAGAGATAGGAAGATCTTCTGTCTGATGGTTCACTTCCCAAGTAACCGCAACGGCTGGAGCTGAGCCAATCCGGAGTCAGGAGCTTTTTCTGGGTCTCCCTCAACATGGGTGCAGGGTCAAAAGGCTTTGGGCCATCCTCGACTGCTTTCCCAGGCCACGAGCAGGGAGCTGGATGGGAAGTGGGGCTGCCAGGACATGAACTGGTGCCTATATGGGATCCTAGGTGTGCAAGGCGAGGACTTTAGCCACTAGGCAACTGTGCCGGGCCCACCTTGCTTATTTTTAAGGTCAGGATATCTAATAAGGGAAGCACAGTGAACAGAGGGTCAAGGAAAAACTGTTGATGCATTGTGTCCTCTAAGTAGGCCTCTTATTGCTGTAGGGCCATCAATCCAATAGTACATATTTTAATATGCTACAAAAACAGGTTAAAAAAAGGGTTTTTTTTTTTAACAGGCTTATGACAGTTGTCAGATTATATTCCAATTACCAACTAAAAATGTCAGCATTGCGAAGGATAGTATTTAAGATTTCTACAGATTATAATTAGACTGGGCATTTCCGACAGAAAACCTCCCATGAGGCGAGATGGGTGTTTCAGCACCCCGCCCACAGTGGGTCCTCAGTTACCACCTGCAGAATTCACCTTATCCCGCTCCTGCCCCTCAACCTTCAGGTGCCTGCTCCATCAGTTACCCTCTCCTCCTCCACCTTCCCCTTCTCTTGTCGGCTAATGCCCCTCGTTTACCAAGAGGCTGATCAGTCCTGTCACCCCGTCCTGAGCCTCCTGCCCCGGCCTTTGTGTTCCACTGAACTCTCCCAGAATGCACATCGGAAGAAGCTAGAATCAGAAAGGGGCTTGAATCCAGACTTGAACCCCAACACTGGATGTGGGTGTCCCGAGCAGCGTCTTATTGCTACACCAATCGCCAGTCCCCAGCACCTGCTGCTTTTCTGCCAAGAAACAGGTATCATATTTCTGCATTAACAGTAACACAGACCATTTTGGTGTAGAACATGTATTTATTTGTTTTCCTCGAAACACTCAAGTTTAAGTCAGTGGGAAATATTTTTAATCAAAGAATTGTACATTTTCTTCCCACATATCCTGCTTTGTATTAGGAAATGACATTGTGACCCATTTCACTACAAGTAAAATATTACAAAATATTTACAGGAAAATATTAAAAATAAACACAAAGGGCAAGATGAGATAAACTGGTTTTCTGGGAATCTCTATTCCAGTGCCCACAGCACGCAACAGTCAGAACAAATAATAACTACGATTCCCTTGATCACACATTTCCAAAGAGCTGGAGAAAGGGAAAGACGGGGTGACGTGGTGGCGTGCCAGGGAACGGGTGCCAGCAGCACTGCTTTGACAGCCCGTTATTCTGAGCGCAGTACCCTCTCTTACATACGCAGCAAATTCTGAAGAAGGCTAAATTTCAGGATATTCCTTGTACTCAAATTAGAAAATACCCTGACAGTGGAAGCAGCTCTTTACCCCAAGTCTAATAAGAGCATCTTTCTTCATGAGCCTCTGTCGTGAAGAAGTCCACTCTGGCATGAGGCTGTCACAGCAGCCCTTCCATCTCTTTCATGAAAGCCTCATAAACATCATCTTTAGTTTGTACAGAAACAGGAGCAGCAGGGCCAGACTTGGGGGCTGCTTTGGCGAGGGGCACAGCAGAATCCTCCTCTGACTTTCTTTGGGGAGCAGAAGCCCCTTTATTCTCCCGACGTACTCTCAGTGCGGTGGGAACAAATCGAGTAATCTCTGCCTTGGGATTAGTGATTTGAGGCTTGGCACTGATGGTTGCTGTGGCTTTCTTCTCAATGGTGGCTGCACTTGTATCATCCGCCTTGGGTCGCTGAATCAAGTTGGGTGGGGCACTCAAAACCCCTGGGTTGGGCAAGGGAGCTGGTGGGAAAAGCCCAGGTGGAGCAGGTCCGAGTGGAGGCACCAGAGGTGGCCGCATCATGCCAGGACGAGGTGGAGGGATGCCTGATGCCGAAGAGAACAGGCAGGATGAGTACCGTAAGAGCTAACACATTGTCACTGGTATCAACTTGCAGAAAATGAGCTGCACCCACAGTGCCTGCTATTTGGAACTGTCCTGATACTTTTACCCATTTCTAAATAATGTCCTATTTTAAAATATAAAGTAAAATCGGTGACACCAACTGGCTCCAAACAGCAATTCAGATCTGACAGCTCAAGACTGCCCTAGCTGTACAGTGCTGATTCCACCAAGACCAAGGTCAGGAAGCTGAGCCCCACTTACTTATTTCCCTTTGCAAAACAAAAAAAAAAAAAAAAAAAAAAAAAAAGAAGAAAAAAAAGAAAGAAAAGGAAATTCAACGGACAGAAAATAAAATTTTGACACTGGTCTCCAACTACAAATACAATGAGTGGTTACTTACACTCTATCATCATGGGAAAATACCTCCTATGTGCTACTGACAGTTTAGACAAAGAGTTGAACATCTACATTGGCTTTCTCAGACTGAATATTATGCACCATGTTTTACCCTACCCAAGATGTACTGACTCTGCATCTGAACTACTAAGAAAGAAAAAACATCTGAGCGGAGGCACAGCTTCACGTTAAATTCGGACCTTCCATGTAACAAACAAGAACTGCTTGCCATAAAGACCAGTCCACAGGGGACTCTGCATGTGTTTGTTTCCCTAAAAAAACTTCCCTGTGATTTTGAACTTTAGGTTAGAACTCAAGCCAATGCCTAGAACAAATTTCCTAATTACAATTATGCTTCTAGAAGCACACAAATACATAAAGCCTCACCTGGAGGTGCAGGGGGAGGTAATCTTGGTGGGGGTCCCCGAGGCGGAGGGCCAGGAGGAAGACCTGGAGGTGGACCTGGGGGAGGACCAGGAGGACGGCCTGGTGGGGGTCCTGGAGGTAAAAGTCTCGGTAAAGGCCCTCGGAGTCCTGGCATTCCAGGTGGTCTCAGGAATGGAGGAGCCCCTGAAAAGAGAACAATGACAAATATAAAACACAATAGAATAGTAGATAATAAGTTATTATCCACAGTAATAAAAGCAATATTTGTGGCATAAAAGTAACTCAAATGTGACTTACCATTTACACTTACACCTGAAGTCAAATAACTTCAGTAACTTACTGAAACATGTATGATAGAATTCATTCAACAAACACCTGAACACTATGAAAAGGGCATTAGATTTACCTTACATCATTTCTCTTTATTTACTAGCACTGAAAAAGGCATACTCCAGATCTGCTGGATTGGAAATATAAAAATATAAGAATTCTTAAGTAATTCCATTAGAAGCTGAAACTAGAACTGAAAGGTCAACACTTTAAGGACTCGCTGTAATCCAGTGAGAGTTAAGAATCACTGAGAAAGACAGACAGGTAATTTTGCTTTGTACCACTCAGAAAAGGGTTCATTCAACTGAAAGAAATCTGACTATAGGATGAAAAACTAAACTTTTACATTCTGAAGTTGAATACTTTGATAAACAGACTGATCACATTGGTCTCTATGAAGGAACTAAATGATCCAGATTGCACTGGCATTTATCAACCCCTAACCGAAGAACAACATGAGTTATTATTAATACATTTCAAAATATCCACGGAAAATGGAGTTAAAGGATGTTTCAATGCACTATTTTCTGAAATCTGTGCATACATAGGGCATTCAAAAAGTTCATGGAAGATGTTTCATAAAAAACACAAGATGGGTTTAAAACTCAGTGAACAAGCTTGTCTTTCAATTCCACTTTCTGCATACTTTTTGAAATACATATAACTGTGCTCTAGTGTCACTCGTTTCCAGTTTAGAACTAGGTCAACCAATCAAATTAAAAATACTAAGAAAAGCACAGTCATATGTTCAAGTTTCTGCCTGCTATAATCAGAAGTCAGAACCCTGAATAGGGCAGAGCTGTGCAGAAAAATAAGTGGCTATCAAAAGAACTCAGAACTGCAGAGTGTTTTAGGAACAAATTTGACATATGATCTGAGAATCTTGATTACCTTAGGGAATTTCATCAGGAACAAAGAAAAAATATTACTGCTAGCAACGCACAATATTTTTGGAATGGTTTCACTCCAGCTTCATTTACTGTTAAATACTTCTTTGTATTACAGAGTGCTAACCTGGAGGTGGACCCGGAGGAAGGCCAGTAGGTGGTCCAGGAGGTCGTAAGGGTGGAGCAGGTGGTGGTCCAAGAGGAGGGGGTCCTGGCATGGGGGGTGCTTGTATCTGAGAGGGAGGAACAGACTGGGGAGGAGCCTGCTGCTGCGAAGATGCAGACGTGCCATCAGAGTGGGAATCTTCTTTATGCTGCTTTTGTGACTGCTTTTCTGCTGCAGAATCTTCAGAATCATCATCATCGTCGTCCTCGGAAAATTCCTCTACTTCTCTACCCTCCTCAGGGATTTCCTGACCTGAAACACATTTTAAACCAGGTAGGGCCCGGCGTGGTTGCCTAGTGGCTCAAGTCCTAGCCTTGAACGTGCCAGGATCCCATATGGGTGCTGGTTCTAATCCTGGTAGCCCCACTTCCCATCCAGCTCCCTGCTTTGTGGCCTGGGAGAACAGTCGAGAACAGCCCAAACCCTTGTTACCCTGCACCCATGTGGGAGACCCCGAAGAGCTCCTGGCTTCGTATTGGCACAGCACCGGCCATTATGGTTACTCTGGGAGTGAGTCATTAGATGGAAGACATTTCTCCCTGTCTTTCCTCCTCTCTCTATAGATCTGCCTTTCCAATAAAAATGAATAAATCTTTAAAAAAATAATAAACCAGGTAAAGAAAAGCATTCTGAAAATTAATAAGCAGACTCCGATCATCTATTCTCCTGGATTCTAGTGGAATAAACCCAGGCATTGGAATCAGATGGACTTGGATTTAACCAGGAACTGAAATTAGAGAAAAGCTGTGCAACTCTGGGCAGACCACCTAATGCTGTCCACCCTCAACTTTGTAGAACATGGATTTAAATGCACTGCTTACTTTGGTAAGGATTGTTTTGTTAAATGGAAAAATCTACGCAAAGATACTGTGATGACGAAGTGGCAGGAGGCAACTGTCTATTCACTCCCAGTCGTACCTGCCATCCGGAGCATCATGGCTTGGACCGGCGTCAGCTCCTTCATGTTCTTCTTTTTCTTCCTCGATTTTCCAGGCATATCAGCAAACCGCACACTCAGACCTAGGAGAGAATACATGCTTATCACATAGTAAACACTAAAAGCATGAGATGTGGCCATCTTCCATTAGTACGCATTAGAATTTGTGAGGACTGTTAAGAACTAGCTGGAGGGCCTGTTTGTGCACAGCCAAGTGGAGCCATTCCATGTAGAAGTGACGAATAGAGTGCTGGCTCCCCACTGCAGTCGGGGAAAAGCAGCAGATGATGTCCCAGACACGCGGCCCCCGACGCCCAGGCCTGGCCACTGAAGGCACTGAAGGCACTGAAGGCACTGAAGGCACTGAAGCCGCTGAAGCCGTGTTCTCCTTGGCTCTCCCTCCAACTCTGCCTCCCAAACAAATAAATCCTTCAAAAAAAGCAACAGAACTTGCCATCCCTATAAATATTCATTATGAATAAATCTGCATGGGTTTCAACATTTTTCACACCAAAATATTCTTTTAATTCCTTTCACAAGTTCTTTTTTTTTTTTTTTAAATACTTTCATACTGTTCTGTAGGATACGGAAATGGTGCCAAAAGAAGTTCTAGAACTGGAGGTCTGACAGATCTGGTATACTTTTTGCTTTATTCAGAATCTATTTCACTATGCTGAAAATTTTTAAATGTCAAAAATTACTTTTTTCCAAAGAGTACATATTAGCTCATTCTAAATATGTGATAGACAAAAAGCATACAAGTTGGATTAAACACGGTCTCATGACTCTATTCATGGGCCACCTGAGTTACAATTACAGTTCTGGTTCATGTAAAAGACTCATGAACAGGAAGGCAAAGAGTTTTAAATGCAGACATTTAAATGCCTGTTTAAAAAACAACAGCATAAACATGGTTTTCTAAGTATGGTTATGTGATTTCCTTTCCTTTCTGTAACACAGCCATAATAACCTATCTTTTAAAAGATTTATTTATTTATTGGAAAAGCAGATATATATAGAGGAGGACAGACAGAGAGGAAGATCTTCCCTTCGCTGATTCATTCCCCAAGCGGGCACAATGGTTGGAGCTAAGCTGATCTGAAGCCAGGAGCCTAGAGCCTCTTCTGGGTCTCCCACACGGGTCCCAACCCGTTTGGCCATCCTCCACTGCTTTCCCAGGCCACAAGCAGGGAGCTGGATGGGAAGTGGAGCCATAGGAATTAGAAACGGTGCTCATATGAGATCCTGGTGCGTGCAAGGTGAGAACTTTAGCCACTAGGCTACCGCGCCAGGCCCACACTAACCTATCTTTTTATGCTGTTGACAAGCTACTGTTTGCTCAGAGGTGGATCTTACAATATAGATGTCTTCATTATGCATGCTATTCTTGAGGCTGGCTATATGGTGCAGTGGGTTGGAAGCTGTCCCCTGTGATGCCAGATCCCATGGGCGTGCTGTTGAGTCCTGGTGCCTCTGCCACCTGCATGGGAGACCCCAGTGGAGGTTCCAGCTCCTGGATTTGGCCTGGCTTGGTCTCAGCTATTTTATTTGGGGAATGAATCAGCAGAAGATACTCGTTCCCCCATAATTCTGCCTTTTAAATAAACAAACAAAAAAACACCATGCAACCGTCCTTTGCACAGACCTGATTTTTTTTCTTCATTGTTGTCTCGGTCATTGTCGTCACGATGCGCAAATTCATCCCCCTCACTCTCTCCATCTGATCTGTCGGTGTCACTGTCATCAGAGCTGTCATCGTGCTTCTCCTGGTCCATGTCCTCAGGATAGCCATCATCCTCACTCGTGCTGGAGACATCGTCGTCATGACCCCGCTGAGCTGAGGAGGAGGAGGGACAGAGCAAGCAAGGGCATTACACCTTCCACTGCGGAGCACACAAGATACGCTTTGAACCCAGAATGTTTTTAAAAAATTGTATGATCTCAGCTATTTAGAGTCTGACAATATTTTCTTTTGGCCATGATTTTAAATAGTTCTTTTTGGTAATTTAAGATTGTCCTTTTCTAAAAAAAAATTCAAATCTGAAAGCACATTCTAGTTAAAAACAGTTACTGCACGTACAATCGCAGTGACTGCACAGCAAGGCTCTGGTCTGATCACAACCACATGGCTCATAGACAGACAGTGTTCAAGCCACCGCCAGTATTCATCTGGGAGAGCCCAATGCAAAGCAACGAAACAGTCACCCTCACCAAGCTCAGGACTATACAGCATGTCTTCATCGCGCCTGCGAGGGGGGAGATCCAGGGCAAAGCCCACTTTGCGGCCATACATCTGTAGGACCTGAGGCGGCGGGGGGCCTGGTGGAGGGCCGGGGGGTTTTCTGCCAGGGGGCAAACGTGGTACACTATGTCCAAGAAGAGGAAATATAGAAACTGCCCGGGTTGTAGGTCTGAAAAACAGACACACAAACAAACGAAAAAAAAAAAAAACAAAAAAAGCAGCAATGAGATATTTCATTCCATTTACTACAGAATTTTTCAAGCATTTCATTTAACCAACAACAACGCTGCTTACATCTGCGTTGGGTTTTATTTTCCACCATTTAATCGTGGTACTTGTCAGGAAGTGTGTTTACCAAATGCTCTCTGTGCTACTGCTTCCTTACCCATAGGCTGAAGTTTTCTTTAGGATGGAGGGTGGCTGGGCACCAGGAAGTGGAATGTCCTGGATCAAGATGTTGGAAGGAGCATGTGGCATATCCGGCAGGGGAATACTCTCCACTTCCACATGCTGAGCATTCTGAAATGGAGAGAAGCTTTCAATAGCAGGATAAACATGAAATCTACAAAAGTTAACATAACAACGTCTATGTCATGTTGCACAACTTGGATTTGTTTTCCAATTAACAGAAATGCATGAAAACAAAAAGATTAGCGAAACAAGTCAGTGCTTCCAAGCTAACACATGTCTAACCTCTAAGAGAGTCCAGACTGGCTCATGCTGCCCTCCCTCATCGCCTGCTGCTGTTCTGAGTACGATCTGAAACAGCTGCAGTTTAGAAAAAAGCGAGCTGCTAAGAGCCAGCACCAAAGCGATTCTACTTAATTGTAGGTGACAAAATTATATCAACAAAACACACCCCGTGATACAGAGTGCTCCAAGTTTAAAATTAGTTTGCTTTTGTTCCTTTGTGCCCTTTATTAGCTGTCTAAGCAAGTTGCCTAAGGTTCCAGATCTATCTACAAAGGGAACCCAAACTAATTTGTCAAAAATGTAACATTTACTTATTCCGTTTAATTCTGAAGTTTACAATGAAAAATTTAAATTAAGTGAGTTTTGACAAATGCACATTCCTCACACCAGTCAATCCCTAATACTACCTCAAGGCAACTACTGTTGGAGCATTTTCCTCTCACAGAGCAGTTTCACCTGTTGTAGCATGGTTCCTAGGGTAGGTATTTATTTTCCTAAGAAACTGTTTAACACAAGAGGTCTAATGCAAATTCTCTCAGTAACTTAAAAACCTAAATATAAAGTTTTATTTCCAAAAAAAACACACAAAAACCCCTTGATTACCTTAACAGCATCAAAATACTGGCTAAGTTGAGCCCGTTTTTGTTCATATTCTACTTCTAGTTTTCTCAGTTCTTTATAAATATCTGGGTTCTCTTTTTCATAAAGTCGGAGAATACGTTCAAAGGTTTCACGCAGCTTTTTACGCTTGTCTTTCAGTACTTTCTCGTTTAACTGTGGCTGTTGCACTGGGTTAAACTCTGAGGAAAAGCAGATCATAACACAAAAGATGGTTCAACTTAGGATTTTTTTTTAGTTATACAGTAGTATGATAGCAATGTGTGCTCACTATGTGCTGAGCATGTCTAAAGTGTGCTAGGCTGGGCTAGGCTGCATATATCAAATATATTTAGACTATAATGATGTTTTTCAACTTAGGATGATTGGTTTTTTTGAAGTATAACCTATTTCAAGTTGAAAAGCATTTGATGATTTTACATCTTTGTTGAATGGCTAAGTATCTTTTTCGAACTTCTCACTAAATAAATAGGAACTACTTTATATTCATGATGGCTCAATACTGAAATTTAAATGGTAGTTGCCAACATTAAAAGATGTATCAAAGTTTCCCAAGTGGGTGTGGGTATCTGGCCCAACAGTCTAGCAGCCTGTGTCTCATCCCGTGAGGGTGCCTGGGCCCCAGCCCTCCAACCCCATCCTGATCCAGTTCACCTAGCATGCATCCTGAGAGGCAGCAGGTTATGGCCCAAGTGACCGAGTCCCTGCCACCCAGGGGGAAGATTTGGAATGAGTTTCTGGATTCTGGCTTCACCTTAGCTTTTGGGAAGTAAAGCAGCGGAGGGGAGATCTCTGTCTCCGCCTTAAAACAGCAAACCAATCCCACCATATTTCATAAACTTATTTGTTTTCTCCCCCCAAGAATGAACCGAGCACACTGGGCCTCATCATAACTAGCTTGAAAATCTATCCAAGCCACCTAGCTGATCCAGCCCAAACAGGAAGCTTCCTGGCTTCAATGCATCAAGACACTCCTCTTCACCTTATGTCACAATGCCTAATATTTTGAAACAGAATCCTTTCCTTTTTTTAGGATTCAAGTAACTAATTTACTCACTCAATGAATTACTATTGAGTGAGGTACTAGGCAATGTGGAGAGTTCCAATGGTAATTCCTACCCTTATAAAGTCTGAAAACAGTGAGCATATAAAGCAAGCTAAGGCACTTAATGTGTAGGGGTGGGGATTTGGAATATAAATGAAAAGCTAAATAATGGTTTCCCTCCTAACTCAGGCTATGAAAGGTCCAATATGCAATAGCCCTCCAATACTCCATTTTGTATCACTGATAATAAAACTAACCAAGCTCAAACTGCCATCATGCTGGTCTACCTTTCATAGGCTTAAGGTTCTTCTGCCTGCCTCATTGTCAGATTACTATAGCTGCTATAGAATCCATCCTTTATATATGTAAATTCATACCCATTTCATCCAATTTTTCCATGTCCCGGATAATCTGCTTGGGATCCTTCATCTTCAGAACCGCAGCTCGCACCATCATGCGTTGTTTCTTGTTCTTAGAGAAATGAATGATGGCACAATATTAAGAAGCTGGACACCCATGAGTTTTAACGGAAATCTGTTTCAAGAATTTAAACTGAAAATGTCCTTGTTGCAGATCACTTGTTTCGGCCACTAAGGAGAATTATCTGACAACCTGCTCTACAACTGTCTAGAGGTCAATGTCATTACATGTGCTTTCTTTGAAAAGCACTGTTTTCAGTCTTGTGAAATCTTCACCACTTACTCAAAAAACAATCATGTTTCTTTTTAAAACTGCAGATAAAATTTTAAGTTACATAGTAAAAATTTGCAGATTTAATGCTAACCAATAAAATAATTGAGCATTACTGAAATTTTGAATTCCCTCAGTCTCTTAAAATCTGAAACTTAAAAACAAATAAATAAATAATTCTTTCTTCTGTTTCACATGTTTTGTTACAGTAAACTTACTAGGAAAATGTATATACAAAGCTATGCATTATGTTTATTCCCAGGTACTAATTCAGACCTTTTTAACAAAGCAGATTAATAAGTAAATTACCTTCAAAAGTATTTTTACTCTCATAAGCCAAAAATGTTACTATAACTCATCATAAATGTATATGCCAAGATTTTTAGTTTGGCTTCTAAGCAGAGGAAGTTTTATTTTAGCAAATTTTACAGTTTTTATTTATAAAAAAGGAAGTGACTGTCCTGGTAAATAACTGGAGGTGTTATCTTGAAATCTATTAATCCTGAATAATAAGATTCAGCAAAACATGGAAATGCATGGAATACCTCTGAAATCTTACCTTTTTTAATTCTCTCTTCCGGGCTTCCTTTCCTTGAGAGAGAGAGAGAGAGAGAGAAATGAGATAACTTTCAAATCTTCAACATGAGCCCTGTCCAACTTAATACAGGTAATTCTTATGTGTGGGAGGCAAAGCTGTGCGTTACAAGCTGCTTAGTAGCACTGCTGGCCTCTACCAGACCCCAACAGTATCTTTTCAATCACAACAGCCAAAAGTGACAAGACATTTTTTTAAGTTTTTAATAACCATAAATTTTAAGGAAAGAGATATGAGAAAATGCTAATTAAGAGCATACAAAATTATTCAATTGCTCAAAACTCCCAACATTCAAGCCAAGTATACTTTGTGAGCCAATTAATTCTGAAAAAAAAAAAATAGTGATACTAATTTCTTTGTATATTTAAAGTTTTAATGATGCAAATACTGCAAAACTTTAGATGGTTTATATTCCTCCCATCATTGCTGATCTTGTAATTAAATCACGACGAAAGTTTCCCTGTCATCCCACACTAATGGGCACTTACGGGCTTGGTCTGTGGGGTTCATAAACTTTCCACTCTTGGTGGATGATGTAGATCTTCGTCCCATCTTGACAGTATGTGTGTTTCACTATCATTAAGAAAAAAAAAAAAAACCTGCAAAGACAAAGAAATAGCTCACTTCACCTTTGCAACATTTTCTCCTTTTTTAGTGTCAGTTTTGAAAAGAAATATTCTTTGATTAATTTTGCAAAACCTTAGTCTTCCTTAGTTTTTTAAGATTTACTTATTTGTTGGAATGGTAGAGTGACAGTATGAGAGAAGGGGAGGGATGAAGGGAGATAGTGAGAAAAACAGAGATCTTTTTTCTATTGGTTCACTCCTCAAATTATCAAAACAGCTGGGGCTGGGCAGGTGAAAGCCAGAACCAGGAACAATGTCTTTTTGTCCTCACTCGGGCCTCCCAGCAGTATTAGGGTGAACCTGGACTGGAAGCAGAGGCAGAAGCTGATCCCACAGGCATTTTAACCAACGATGTTGGTAACATGGGTACATCCAAGCAACAGGGTCTTAACTTTTCTTGGCCACGAAAATTTAATCTCTACTATTCTTTTTTAAAAACATTTTTAAAGATTTATTTATTCTTATTGGAAAGAGAGATTTACAGAGACAGATCTTCCATCCGTTGATCCACTCCCTAAGTGGCCACAACAGCTACAGCAGAGTCCATATGAAGCCAGGAGCCAGGAGCCTCCTCCAGGTCTCCCCATGTGGGTACAGGATCCCAAGTCCTTGGGCTCTTCTCCACTGCTTTCTCAGACCACAAGCAGACAGAAAGTGGACAGAAAGTGGACAGAGCTGGACAGAAAGTGGAGCAGCCAGGATGCGAACTGGCTCCCATCTGGGATCCCAGCATGTGCAAGGGGAGGACTTTAGCTGCTAGGCTAACATGCCAGGCCCATTTAGAAGACTAATCAGCTTGAAGATCATTTTGAGCATCATTAAGTTGTTGTTCATTTGACTTTTTCTCTAATGGATCACAGCACTGAGTTTATCAATTGAGAAAATCAGCTATAATGAAATTTGAAATAAGAGTGCTAATTTCATCTTGGCACATCATTATGAGAAACTGTTAGGTCTTGGTCATTCTTTACTTTCATATAGGATGGAAGCAAAGGGAACGGACATCTATTCTCACAAATACCTCACTTCTTTCTCCAGCCTTCCTTGACATTTGTGCCTTACTTTTCCATCTCCACAAACAGAACAAAGAGCATTAATTTAAGTATACTCAATTTGCATTCAGTTCTAATGCTGAAGAGCTTAAAAATATATAACTAAAGACGTAGTATCCAAAATTAGTATTGAATCCATCCAAAACACCGATATTTTCAGTATTAAGACATACTGTCTTACTACTGTCTTCCTGACACCTGGCTTGTATTTCCTAAGGCAATAGTAAGAGATAATTAACGTTTTGCTGTACTTTGCAAACATCCTTTTGCTATCATTTCTACTTCCCAGGTGCAATCTTTTGAAAGAATCTTTCCGAAATAAAAGCTGGAAAAAAAATTTGCTTCTTCTGGAAAGCAAACACTTTTTAAAAAGAGAAGGCCACGTGAGGAAGTTTTCAGGATGGCATACAACTGTATCTTTCTTGCAGGAAAATTTGGTCAGACCTGTTTAAGGAAATGACTGTACCCCGTCAAGTGCTCCCTTTTCAGGAGACGGACGGGCAAAATTAGGACAAAGTCTCCCAACTCGCATCGCCTGCATCTTTGGGGCTCTCCTTTCTCCATTTTCCTCAGGGTCACGTTATGACTCTCCTCTCTCATAACCGTAACCATCAAACCAGTAACAATTACAGAGAATTAAAAAAAAAAAAAAAGCCAGAAGACAGCGGAGATCTCGACTACACAAACTACTTATCTTCCCCACCACCACCCCACTTTTTGTAGCAGAGGCGATAGGGAAATCGCACCGAAAAAACTAGGAGGAACTCTCAGCAACCAAACAGGTTTCAGGGTGACAGGGTCCACCAGAACAGCAACTGCCGAAACCATAGCGACGGTTGATCCCGATTCGAGGGGACCAGAAGACGTCAAACCCAGAGCAACCGACCAACCTCTAGGGGAAGCGGCGCTAACTGACCCGATGGACGCCGCGCCCCCCTGGGCCCCGGCAGTCCCCCTAATCCGCGACCCGGAGACCCCCCAATCGCAGGAAGAACGAGGCTAAAGGGCCTGGATGTCCCAGAGGAAATCGCGCCGACTCTGGGAAGGGAGATGAGGGAACCGAATAAAGCAATCCCGCATACTCACACTTCCGCTGGGCTCCGAGGATTGCTTGAGGCGGGGGAGGGACGATTCCTGGCCTCTTTTACTTTAGAGGGGCCTTCACCTCTGGCTCCCGGTCAACCACACAGCCCCGCCATCTTGAAACCTCGCGCCCCTCCGCCATCCGTACGTCACATCCGCTCTGCCGGCTCCTAGATGAAGCAGCGTTGCCCCATTGCGGAATTACAAAGAGCAGCCAAGAACTTCGAGACAGAGTGGCTTCCGCTCCAATTCACTACCCGATTGGTTGGCTGTTGGTTAAGAGCCCGCCTCATGACGCAATACCACGTCGATTGACATTTACCTTCTCCAGTAGAAACAAAAGACAGGAAGCGACTCTCTGATTGGCCGGCCGCGCCTCTGGGGCCGGGACTTTGTGACCTAACTTCCGGCCGCTGCTCCTCTGGAGCCAGTCCCTAGCGGTGCTTTGGAGACACTGGGATGTGTTTTGCGTGGTCGGTTCCCTTGGGTTGGTGTTTTTGGATTTTTACGTTCTTTTTGACGTGAACGGATACCAGCCTTTGGGAATGTCTCCTTTTGAAAATAGGTCTCACTCGAGTCATTAAGCTAGAGTTGCTGGAGTTCTTCACGTGCCTCGCCGGCCTGAGGTACCTCGCGTGGGCGCCCAGTGCCCGTGGAGTGTCCCTAGGGGTTTTACACACGAGTGACCGCTCCTAGCCCCGAACACACACAACAGTGCCCCTGAAATCCCGAACTGTGAAATCCGCAGAGGATTCGCTTTCTTGAGGAGGATAGGTGAGGATAACGCAGTTTTCAATTTATGAGTGGTGTCGTTGAGGAAGAGGAGTTATTTCAACTATTAGGAGTAGTATTTTGAAAGGGCTGTAGGTGTGTATGTAGCAGGCAGGCACCCACGCGTGCCCTGGCCGACTGGTGTGTTCCCCCGCCCGAGTCCTCTGTGATGTCACTTTGTGCCCACGGTTTATTCGCTCACCTCTAGTCTTCACCCTTTACTTTCCCGCGGGGTCCCCTTTCCCTAGTTCCTCCCCCATCGTCTCCCCTTAAAGGTAAGTTTAAATGTTTTTAAAGTGGGACGAATTTGGTGACTTCTTATTCCAATGTGAATATCCCTTCTGGGAAAACCAGCTGAACAGTTCTATCAGTTGTAAATATTTCAAAGTAAGACGGGGATACCTACCAATGTTAACAATATTTAAATGATGTTACGGCTTCTAAGCCAGATCATAAGGCAGAAAAGATAAAGTGGAATAATTATGAATGGTGAGACAAAGAGAAAATGAGTCTGTTAGAAAAGTCCCTAGTCTTTCCCAAGCTGTGTATAAGTAGACATCACAAGTCTAAATGAGAATTTATTCCATGGGGAAAGATGTAGAAACACCCACCCACAGAGATCTAGCTGAATGCATAATTAGGCCTTGAGCTCCTCTGGGTTTGTGTGAAGTCAGGTGATGAGTGAAATTAGCCACCTAACGCTGCATTCTCTCTGGTGGTTTGAAATGAAACTCTTAAAAACAAGCCGTGTAAATAAGGTTTCTCTTCCCTTTAAGCCAAATCCTTTAAATCATTGACTTCTGCATCATAAATGCATTTTGTGTGGATATTACTGGGGTTTGCTGCTGCAAGTGACATGAATGTCCCAGAAATGGTAGCTGAATCATCACAGCTGGTCAGTCGGTTGAAATCACACTCTTTATGTTTTATATCTTTGAAAAGCCCATCCAGATGACGTTATGCAATTAGTAGAAATTGACAGATCCATTGCCACTTTTCATAATCAAAGCAGATTGTTATGGGTTTTTGTTGTCTTCAGTTTTAGAAAATTGTATTGAATCTGATGGTCAAAAAATAAGGTGGTATAAAAAAATATCAGTTGAAAGTTCAAGGTGTGTTTGGTGCAGTTACCACAAATGCTGCCTATAAACTAAGTGATGCTTGATTCCAGTGGTGAGAGTGAGCGTCTCTGCATCAGATGTGTTAAGAATTTTGATGGCAGATTAGAAAGGGAATATTGGTCATCTCTACACCTGCTATTGTCACTACACTTCCAGTGTTTACCTGGTTAAGCAGTGTAAGGAAAACGTCCTGGGATGTAATCTTGTACCTCAGAGGACCTGGCACTACGTCACCCAGTGTTAATTAAAACAAAAACTCAAGAATTGTCTAATTTCATACCTCCAGTTGTTTCCAAATGGTTTGTCCTATTTATGTACAAATTGGCAGCATATGAAACATGAGCCAGGAAGCAAATATGATGATGGAAAATGTAATAGAAAAGCTACCCCGGGGGGCAAGTCAAAGGGTCGTTCATTTCATCTGGCGTTTCACTGCATTGGTCACCTCTGTAATGGCGTGATGATATTTTTCTGAGGCTGACTTGAACTCCACCAGATGCTTCTCGTAGCTTTTGATGGCTGCCTCAAGTTGGGTTTTCTCCACTGCTCCCAGGATAGCACGGAAAACCATGTCTATGCCAAGGCCAAGAACAGCAACCCCGATACTGCCAAGAAGAGAGGCGCCAATTTGAGTTAGCACGTTGACCAACTTATTAATTATGCCAGTTGTGAGGTTGGAGCCCACAAGTTTCACAGCCACTGCACTGGCTGCAGATGTGGCTTCTCCCAGGATGACGGAAATAATCTTTTGTACCATTGCAATCTTTACCGTTTCCCTTTCCTTAATATCCTGCAGTTTCCTGTACAGGGTGGGCTCTAGTTTGTCTTTGAGTGCTTCGTCAACCTTTTGCAGTACCGATTGGATTTTTGTCATGGCTCGGATGATGATATCGCAGTTTTCTTTGATGGTCCCATCTTTCTTCATCTCAATGGAATCCAGTCTGCACCCCAAGTGCATATTTAGAACCTCGATCAGCTTATTGGTGGCCTGGAAGCTGTCATATAAGCAGTCAAGGAGCTGCTGGTGGAGGCGATTCACTTCCTGCCGTCGCCTCGGGTTCTCTGGGTAGAGGAAGTCGCTCTGAGCCATATTTCAGTTATGAACTCTGAAAAGTAAAATGATAAATCTTCATTAAGAGTTGTAAAATCTATGTTTATAGGTCTGACTAGGAAATTTTTTTTTTGTATGCATATGAGGGTGGCAGAATTGAATTCCTCAGAAAATTGGCCTCTTTTTCAGTGATGATTTTTATAAAATTTGGAGTCAGTGTGCAAAAGTGTAGGTAGCTACAGTTATTGATGCATAAATTTTGAGGTTTTCCTAAAGCAACTCTAGCTCTAAAAAGATACACAAAATTGAGATTCCTCCTTCAGCTTCAAAGAGCTCCGAGGCTAAGCGCTGTTACTTCAAAACAAAACCTTTTCTATTGAAAAACACATACACTTCACAAAAAGACAAGACAGACATGTGGCCACACAATCCAGAAACCAGATGTTGGGAATCCAAAATTTGAACACCCAAACCAGATGGACAGTACCATGTCTCGTATGGTTCGGACTCAGAAGTTAAGCCGCGTGCAGCCTTCTTGACGAGTCCCACATGAGTACTCCTAGAAATGGAATCAAGTCAGATGGTGAGCCCCAGTTATGGGTGAAACTCACCTGTGACCTGTCATGCTGAACTAGGTGACTCCTCCTAAGGATCAGTGTGAATCTGTGAGCCAGGAAGCCAAGATCAGGTGCTGGGGCCGTGTTGACCATCACAGTGGCCTCCCCAGACTACCGAGCCTGGTTCCTGATCACAGGACGGCCACTGCCCTCTGAATTGGGATCTCTAATCTCGCTGGGGCCTCCAGATGTTACGGGGTGCGAGCGAGATCACACCAGACAGATCTAAGGTTTATTAAGGAGTCTTTATTAATCAAGCTTGGTGATAATAAAGCAAATTAGAAATAGCAAGTCACAAGTCCCTGTGGGCATCCAACCAAAGGTAATCCAGCCATAACCCAACCAAGCATAACCCCAAGAGGAACAAATGGTCATTACCCTGAAGTCCGTCCGTTAAGCTGAAGACCTATGTCCCAGCTTCCCCAACAGTATAAGTTATCCTAAGAGACATGCAATGAATAACCTGGACACACTTACAAAGCTTCAGACATTCACCTTTCCCTGGCTTCTCTGCCCACATTCCATCACTGCTAGGCCTCACCTCTCCTGGAACTCCTACTCCTGATAGTACACAAACCAGAAGTGATATTGCTATATCCATTGTCCCATCTAAGCAGTACACAGGGACCATGCTCAGGGAACCACCTGTCCTGGGTCAGCCAAGAGTCAAGGTGCCAGAGCAACAGAAGCACCTGACCAGAAAGAGCGTGATGAGTATATATTTGAGACTCGAGTTTCATTTAGAGAGAAGGTGGGCAGCATACAGGGGGCTGTGCAGTTACGGACCTAAAGCATCTGAAAGAAGAAAGTGCCAGTTTGTGAAAGTTTTATTAAGTATCAAGAGTATACCATAAAAAGAATAAAATGTACCTGACAGGAAACTTCTTGTGTTGGAACTGTGGCTTACATTATTGTTTAGAGAAAAAAGGAACAGTTATGCTTTTCTGAGTTCATCTGTATAAATATGATTGCTTCAGTAACAATAATATATTTTTTTTCCAAGAGATTTTTAAATTTTTATTCAAAAGTCAGATTTACAGAGAGGAGAGATGGAAAGATCTTCAATCTGATCTGGACCACACTTGGCCCAAAAATGTATTTGTTAATATTCAAAAGTTGATTCAGCTTATCATATTCCTGCTGCTTTTACTTTTCTATTAAGCACTTGGGAGAAAATGGAATCTTCTGTTCTTATTTGTGTAGGATCCAATATATTTCATACTGGAATAAATACTTACTTGTTCTAGTGCTGTGATTCTTAGTCTGCAAATGAGGATTTCAAAAATATAGGATAGGGCCTGGCGCAGAAGCCTGGTGGCTAAAGTCCTCACCTTGCATGCGCCGGAATCCCGTCTGGGCGCCAGTTCTAATCCTGGCGGTCCCGCTTCCCATCCAGCTCCCTGCTTGTGGCCTGGGAGATCAGTGGAGATCAGTCCAGTGGCTTGGGACCCTGCACCCATGTGAGAGACCTGGAAGAGGCTCCTGGCTTCGGATTGGCTCAGCTCTGGCCATTGTGGCCACTTGGGGAGTGAATCAGCAGATGGAAGATCTTCCTCTCTGTCTCTTCTCTCTGTGTATCTCACTTTCCAATAAAAAATTTAAAAATAGGGCCTGGTGCTGTGGCTTAGCAGCTAAGGTCCTTACCTTGAACACGCTGGGATCCCATATGGGTGCTGGTTCTAATCCCAGCAGCAGCGCTTTCCATCCAGCTTTTCCTGCTTGTGGCCTGGAAAAGCAGTCGTGGACGGCCCAAAGCCTTGGGACCCTGCACCTGCATGGGAGACCTGGAAGAAGTTCCTGGCTCCTGGCTTCGGATTGACTCAACACCGGCTATTGCAGTCATTTGGGGAGTGAATCATTGGACAGAAGATATTTCTGTCTCTTCTCTCTGTATATATCTGACTTTGCAATAAAAATAAATCCTTTTAAAAAATTAAAATCTTTAAAAAAAGTAGGATAAATTAATGAAGATGTTTTTCTCTTGATAAACATGAAAACTATTCTGCTTGTCATAGATATGTACTTTGCAAATGGATAGGAGTTTGAATGAGGCACATAACTATGTTACACTAAGGAAAAACGTACTGGAACTTCTTGGTGTAGCAAGCTGCCACTGTCAGTAATGGACTTTATCCTTGAGTTAGATTGAGGACACACCCGCACAGATGATAGTCACACATTTCACTTTCCAATTCTGTCTCACTTAAAGAAATTTCATGTAGAGGTTCTACTAAATACCCCCCAAACTCACCGAAATGTCCTGCAGAATGCAGTGTTGTAGTACAAATTTAGATATTTTTTTCTTCTAGAAACTTTCTATTGAACTTGTTTTTATTCCTGATTTTCAGATCTTATCATGAAGTGCAGACTCTAGTTCCCACACTGCAGAAGACAACCAGCTTCATCACTATATGGATATTTAGGTGAGAAGAAGGATGTGGATTTTTTTTCTCAGAAAAAGTGGAGACTCTAGTGGTTGTTAGGCATAGCTTTCATGAATGGAGTGTGATTCTGACCACCTCAAGATACACGCATGGGGGCATGGGGATCTAACTTTTTTTTTTTTTGAAGGTATGATTTAGTTAATTGAAAGAGTTAGAGAGGGATCTTCCATGTGCTGATTCATTCCCCAAATGGCCACAACAGTTAAGGCTGGCTCAGGTCGGAACCGGTTTTCCGCCAGGTCTCCTGCAGGGTGCAGGGGTCGGAGCCTGCGGGCCATCCTGCACTGTCCTCAGGCACGTTAGCAGGGAGCTGTTCTGAAAACAGAGCGGCCATATGGGATGCTGACATCACAGTTAGCAGCTCCCAGAACTCGAATTCTTCAGTGCTTCCAAGTGAACAGTTGCTTTTAGGTCAATCTATTTGCTGTATCACAATATATAAATTTATTATAAACTGTATCTGAAACATGATAGGATATGTGTTTTCTTTGGGGAAAGTAATGATAGAGTGACTCCGCCATGTTAGAGCACCACAAAAGCACAGTGGTAGATAGTACTATTCAGGTACAAAAGTAATTGGACTCATGGAACAAAATTTTTCTCAAAGCTTTCTGCCTATTTAATAGTAAATATGGAACCTCCAGTTAGTATGGATGGTTAAGATGGCTTGAGTTGCGCTCATTTTCTGTTAAAGAACCTGGGTTTATACCCAGCTCTACTCCCTGGTCCCTGACTCTGTTTGTGGCTCCTATGGTCAGATTCCTGCCATCCAGGTGAGAGACTGAGTGCCTGGCTTTGGTCTCTACCCATCATGGGTATCTGGGGAGAAAACCAGTGGGGACTCACTTTTGGTCCTATCCGCCTCAAAATTATTCTGGTGTAATGTACTGGTCTTTGGAGTTAAAAGTTAATATTTATTGATGTATAAAATCAAGTTTTTTTTTTTAATGTGAAACGTTCTATACTTTTAAAATAAAGATTTATTAATGTTTCTTGGAATGGCAGATATACAGAGAAAAGGACACAAAGATCTTTTGTCTGTTGGTTCACTCCCCAAATGGCAGCAGTGGTGTGAACTGGGCCAGTTTGAAGCCAGGATCCAGGAGCTTCTGGGTCTCCCACACAGGTGCAGGCTCATAGGACTTGGGCTGTCATAGGACACACGCTGGATGGGAAGCAGGGCTGCCTGGGTTACTACTGGTTTCCATATGGGATTCTGGCATGTACAAGGCAAGAATTTTAGCCACTAGGCTACCACACCGGGCCCTCCAGTGATTTTTTACAAAGCCTAGGTAGTTTTGAAATGTGTATGGAGGGACTTTGCACAATTAAAACCTAGGAGGATAAATAGCCTGGAAAAATTTGGTATGCAAGGATGACTAAGTTAAAGAGGATTGAAAAATAGGGAGTTAAAAGAAAAATTAGTTAAAAAGTAGTGCCGTTGTTAAAGAAATCTAACAAAGCCAAATGAAGAATTCTAAACAGAATAGAATTTGTAATACAGTGTCTGATCAGAAAAGCACATGGTGAATTTTCAAAATGAAAATAATTTTTAAATTTCCCTTTAAACATCCAAGCCCTTACCATTGCAGTATAATTAACTTTCTTTTTCTGGCGTGCTGTAGACAGCAATCCACGATTTGTACCAATAACAAATTTGAGTGAGATTCATCATAATGTGCTCAGAATTACTTTCCCCTTTAATGAAAAGGGATTTGTGTTTTTTCCTGTCAGGTTTACCTTCCTAGCTGTGAGTAGGGAATAGGGAATGTTTCTCTGCAAACAGCTTCAACAGATTGGCCTCCATGCCTGCGCAGAGGCACCTGACCTCCACAGAGTACAGCTCATGCTACTTGCGGATTTCCATCCCTAAATGTAGTAAGAAGTACTAGAAAATTAAGAAGGAAAGAGGTGAGGATTGAAGGCAAAACCTCTGAGTTATTTTGGTACAGATAAAGAAGCAATTTATTCAGTCAGTAACAATTGTTGAAAATTTTAGGAAGCTATTAATTGAGCTAAGCTCCTATACTGGGGCTTCGTCCAGACCAGACTGGAAAAAATGGAAGTAGAATTACTCGTACTATAACATGCTAACTAACTGAAACTAAGATGTTTTTTTCTGCTCTTCTGTCAAGTCAGGAGCAAGATAGTAGCCGAATTGGCTAAACAGGTCAGTTTCTGTAGCCTGACTTTACTTGTCAGACACACGTACAGTGCCCAGAAGTAACCTGATGTTAACCATTCAGATATTCTTCTGTTGCTTTAGTTTTATAACCTTGCCTGATAGTGAAAGTGACTTCTACTCGACAGACTCACTTTTTCTGTTTTTGGTTTCTTCAGCTTTCTTTTTCTGTGTACAAAACCAATTTTTTTGTGCTAATTGAAATGTTTTATAGAATGAGATTTGTCCTATTCTAGGATTGCAGATAAACCAGTTAATATTTCTGAAAGCTAAATTTGTTGTAATTTTGTCTTGGGACAATTTGTCTTCTAGGGTAGTACTTTCTTGTGTGTGATGGCGTATTCTGGGTTCTGTAAAGCATACAGACATAAAAAAGCATGATCCCTGTTCTTTTGAAATTTAAAAATTTAAGACAGCTTTGTAATTTGGAAGTATGATTTCACGTAACATGAGGGAAGCTGTTGGTATTTGGAGGATGTCCGAGTGTCGGGCAGTCTCCATCTTAGTGTGTGTTGATGCTGTGGTCACATGTGGCATCTGTAAATCCTGGGAAGGGGAAGAATCTGCTCCTTCAAATTAGTACTCCCAGGTGTGTGCTTTATAGTGAACGAAGAGCTTCAACACCTCATGGAAACGTCCTTCACGGAAATATGCAGTGTCTCCACTCTTGTTCTGCATCTCTGAGTATTCCACTCAGCAAATTGAAAGTTCTGTGATGAATAGGAGTTACCCTTCTTAAGGAGCATATTTGTCACTCAGGCAAACTCCAAGTGATGTCTTACTAATAAGAGGTGCCAAGAGGAGTTCTGACTTGTATATTTTCCTTTGTCCAGCTGTGTTTTCTGTTGAGAGTAGGACATTAATTGCAGTAAATGTAATCTTACTCCAATTAACTCTGCTCTTGCTTGGCAAATTTGAGTAAGCACATGATGGTGTTTCCTGTCAGCAAACATTTCCACTTGAGAAGTCACCCATTTCCATACAGTTTGTACCATTTATATGTTTTATTGTGCAATCTCTGATGTAAAAATGCCCTGATGGAGAATTACTGACCAGCAGGTGGCAATCTTGGTCTCTGGGACTCAAATTCACCTAAGCTTTGGATGAAATAGTTTTGCCTTCTCTTGCTTTTTGCACGTTTGAGCTTTTGGGTGGGTAAAATTTATCTGATGGGAGAATTCTGTTGCTTTAAAAAAAAATCTGGGGGACAGTGCTGTGATTCAACAAGCTGATCCTCTACTTTAAGTGCTGGCATTCCTTATGGATGACAGTTCATGTCCTGGCTGTTCTGCTTCCCATCCAGCTCCCTGCTTATGGCCCGAGAAAGCAGTGGAGGAACCCCAAAGCCTTGGGCTTCTGCACCCATATGGGAGACTTCAGAGACACTCCTGGCTTCTGGCTTTGGAATGGCCCAGCTCCAGCTGCTGCAGCCATTTGGGGAATGAGTCAGTGGATGGAAGATGTTTCTGTGTCTCCTCTCCAGGTCTGCCTTTCAAATAAAAAAAGTTAAATAAAGTAAAAAAAAAAAAAGTAAAACGAAGTCTAGAGATTTCTGACTCCCGATCTTAAACAAAAGTAGCAGAAAATAAATTTGGAAGTGCTGACATGGAATCTGGAGTTGATCAGATCTCCCTGGGAAATGGAAATGAAAATGGGGTAAGCATGATTTGAACCTAGAAGTAAATTCAGTTGATGAATTGTGAAGTAAACACTCAAGGTGAAAGGTCACCTAAGAAACCGTGAGAGTGTGAGAGTTCTTCCAAGTTTGGAAAAGTAGAACTGAAAGATGAATTTATTTGCTGCAAATATTTTTTTAAATCGATTGGTTTTTATAATGTACATTTTTGAGACATTTGGTTTATTGATGATTTAATCTCAAAGCTATCATTTATTAAGCGATAAATTGTATAGTTAGTTTTTCCAGAGATGAACTACCTAACACAATGGAAAAGTATTGATTGTCACCTATACAAATAAAAATTTTTACGAAGTTTTTGTGAATAACAGTAGTCTGTTACTGCCATGTACTAAAGGAATTTAAATACAGAAACTAATATTAAGGTGATAAGATGTTTCAGAACCTTTTGACTTGTATTTTGATGGTAGAATTGTGACAAGGAAATGAAAGTGAAAATTTGATAAAGTGTTTTAAAATATGAAGCCATTATCATTTACATGTAAACTTTGTAAAACAGAGCAAGAAAACATCTATAAACTTGCCCTCTTAATTTTTTTTTGCTCTCCAGAATTTAAGTGTTTGTAAAGTTAATTAAGTTGGTTTTATATTAACTCAGATGTTTATCCATATTGTTAATTTTGAACACATTTGATTGGTTACATAAAGTGCTCCACATACCCTTGCCCTAATTTACCAAACCCTACTTATTTCATCACCACAACACTCTAATGAGCACCTCGATACGCAGATTTATTTCTTCCTCCCTCATCTGGACTGTTTCTTTAGGATAAGTAGAATTAAATAAGTAATGGGAAATAAAGTTTTTATGACTCTGGGCACATGTTACAAACCATATTTCAAGGGCTTTTACCCTGCCACCAAAATATTATAGCGGAATAATGGCTCTCTTTGAAAGTAAAAGATGGGGCCCGGCACAATAGCATAGTAGCTAAAGTCCTCACCTTGCACATGCCAGGATCCCATATGGGCCGCCAGTTCTAATCCTGGCAACCCCACATAGATACGGACACCATATATATGGGAAGGGGGTGACGGGGAGAGAGAGCAAGAGTGGGAGAGAGAAAGAGTTTTGGTTCCGCTGATTTGCTTTCCAAACAACTATTGTGGCTGGGACCAAAGTTAGAAGCTGGGGATGCAATCAAGGTGTCTGGTTCAGCAGCCAGAGCCCAGTTGTTGGAGGCACACCACTGCCTCCTTGGGTCTGCATTGTCAGGAGCTGAGGACAGGAATCCAACCCAGACGCATTGCTGCGCATTGAGGACATCACAAACACCTACTTCATTCTGATAACTTGCATAACTGAGTTACAGGTACATGGGAGTCTGTAAGATTGTTGTCTTTCTCTGTATGAATTTTCCCCATAATAACAAAAAGGAAAAATCACAAGACCCTGTGTAAATGTGGTGTTTAGTTCCTAATGTTCTTTGATGCTCATGTTTTCTCTTGCTTTTCTTCACTGTCCAAATTGGGGCCTTGTGTCAGGCTAAGTTTTTTTTATTTGGGATTGTGGAAATAATGGGGGTACGCTTAAGTCAGAAGACATACAAAAGAAACATGACAGCTACTAAGTAGAAATAGTAAAGTCCTGAGCTTTATTTTTTTTTTCAAGAATGTAAGTCTGAGCTTTCCTTAATTTAAATAAAATCATGACCTATAATTAAAAGAGAAGTTTATCGTGATGTAAATTCTTTGAAGGGCTATGTGCTAAGAATCCAATAATAAGACTAGGCTGACGGTAAAATACCAAGGTCATTCATCAGTGTTTTCAAATGCTTTCTTGTAAAGTCTCTACTGTAAGCCTTGAGGAATTAAAAAAAAAAAAATGTTTCATGCTTTCAAAAGATAATTGTCTCTTTGGAAACATACAGCAAAATTCCAGTATATTTAAATGTAACCTACAAAGGGAGTATACGCTCTACACATGAGCTAGTGTTAGAGTTCCCTGTTCTGTCTTCCCTTAGATTCTGAGTGCCAATGCTAATGTTAACAACACGCAAGGAAATGTTACCATCCAGATAAGCAGCCACATTCACCTAGGTTTCACTGCATCCTTAATCCTTACTGATTGGTTATCCTTACTGATTCTCTTCCCCCTCTTAGTCCTAGCAGTTGTGAATTTTTTCCCTTCTTGTTTTCAGAGGAATACTCATAGGAACATGCCATAGGACCTTCTAATAAAAAAGCTGTTTCACTACTTCACGGCTAAAATTCCAGATTGATAGCCTTAATTCTATCTCCCTTTAATACTGAAAATCAGAGTATTTTATCAGTACTAATAAATCCGTATTGCTTACCTTGTCGTGTCTGCGTGTGTGGGCCCAGCGCTTGTTGAGCAGCACTGTTGTGCTCTTTCATCTGGTTTCGTCTGGATGCTTCTGATGGAATGTGATGACTTTACAGGCTTTACTAGTGACTGCTGGGTCCCTCTGCCTGTCTGCTTTCCAGGCTATTTGTGTATCAGTTGGTCTTCAGAATTCTTCTGTTTCCTATATTTGTGTAAATTTGATATGTACTGGGCCTGTTACAGTAGCCTAGTGGCTAAGGTCCACAGCTTGCACACGCCCGGAATCCTGTATGGATGCTGGTTCTAATCCCAGTGACCCCGTTTCCCATCCAGCTCCCTGCTTGTGGCCTGGGAGATCAGTGGAGATCAGCCCCAAAGCCTTGGAAGCCTGCACCCACATGAGAGACCTGGAAGAGGCTCCTGGCTTCAGATGGGCTCAGCCCTGGCCGTTGTGGTCACTTGGGGAGTGAAATCAGTGGATAGAAGATCTTTCTCTCTGTGTCTCCTCTTCTCTCTATATATCTGAGTTTGCAATAAAAGTAATTTTTTTTTTAAAAAAAACAACTTTTAAATTTTATTTTATTTTGGAGAGGCAGACAGGAGAGGTCGAGAAAGAGAGATTCCCATCTGTTGATTTGTTCTCCGGCTGAGAAACACCAGGCACCTGCCTGAACTCAGAGTCAGGTGCTGGAAACAGTCCAGGTCTTCCACGAGGTCCACAGGCACCGGTTACTAAAGCTTTCCTGCTGTCTTCCAGGGCCTGTGCTGGTGAGAAGCTGAAGCCAGAAACCGCGCAGGTCATTAAACCCTGCGTCGCCCAAGTTACGTAGTTATTTAATTCTTTGATAGATGATTGAATTCCCTAGTGAAATCATCTTGGGCTTAAGGTTTTTCTTTTTGAAAGATTTTTAGTTATACTTTACCTAAAAAGGGTTAGGTTTATTTAAGTTTTCCATTTTTTTCTTGAATGTGTTATATTTGTGCCTCTTATGAAATAAGTTTTATTCAGAATGTTAAATTTATGTGTGAAGAATTGTTAATAGTGTCCTATCATTGTCCCTTTTAATGCCTTTGGGTTAGTAGTAATATTGTTCACTTTTGTCTTGGTTAATGTGGCCCAGTATTTTGCAGTTTTGTTGATTGTTTCAAAAAAAGTTTGGTTTTGTTGATTTTGCCTTTTTCTGTTTTCTGGTTTTTTTTATTTCTATGTTTTGTTATTTTGATCTTTAGTTTGCTCTTCTCTAATTTCATAAGATATGGGCTTAAATTATCCATTCTCCATTTTTCTTCTACTGTAAGAATTTTTTTTAAAGATTTATTTATTTATTGGAAAGTCAGATATACAGAGAGGAGGAGAGACAGAGAGGAAGATCTTCCATCCGATGATTCACTCCCCAAGTGAGTGCAATGGCTGATGCTACGCCAATCCGAAGCCAGGATCCAGGAACTTCTTCGGGTATCCCACATGGGTACAGAGTCCCAAAGCTTTGGGCCGTCCTCGACTGCTTTCCCAGGCCACAAGCAGGGAGCTGTATGGGAAGTGGAGCTGCTGGGATTAGAACCAGCACCCATATGGGATCCCGGCGCATTCAAGGCGAGGACTTTTAGCTGCTAGGCCACGCCGCCGGGCCCTATTTAGATAATTTTTAAAATTTCATTTTAATTTGTCCATTTATCAAAATCTGTGTTAGTTTCTTAGAGCTGTTGTCATAGACCAGAAGAAGCTTAGCACGTTGTGAAACAGCAGTTCATCCTCTCAGGGTTTAGAGCTGGAAAAAGTGTGGCACCCAGCAGACCACCTTTCCGGGGATCCAGGAGGAGCCTCCTGCCTTGCGTTCCTAGAGTCTGGTGGCTGTCAGCATCCCTTGCCTGTGGCTGCTTCTCTGCAGTCATTGCCTGCCTCATCGCATTGCCTCCCACTCTTTAATGGTTACTAGAGAGATTGTAATATCCTATAGCCCTTCATACCATTTACCTAGAATTAATATTTTATCATGTCAGGGAAGATAAAGGAGGCTTATAACTGTGGATCTGCTCACGCCCTCTTGTTCGGCATATAATTACCATATGTATTGAGTCAATATGTTAAAATACCATCACTGCTATTTTTTTCCTCTTGTAATCTTCTCTTCCCTCTGTTGTCCAGTTGTCATTTATTTCACAGTATGCCCTTTCCTAGTGCTGTGGTTGAAATGTGAGGGGTTTAGCTCACAAGCTGTATACTTGACTGTGGTTTGGTGTTCAGGGCAAAAGCAGTGAGAGGAAAGTGACTGAAGTTATCAGCACTTTCCCTGCTTCTTGGGAAGAGAGAAACAAGGTTCAGTGGCAAGACACATCCTCTTCAGTGGCCCATCGCTGGGAGCCCTCCGGGCAGACTCAAGAAAGTCAGGACTGTGAATTTCCCCTCAGATAGAATCACCCAGGTGTGCATGATACTTAAAGAAACTTGCACTCTCCTTAGCAAGCTTGTCCCTCCTCCCTACTAGTTGCCAGGAGTCCTTGTCAGGGGTGCGGAGAGGGGACAGGTGGACTCAGAGTCAGAGTGGACTGCCACAGGATTCTTCCTCAGGCAGTATTAACAGTGACACTGGTTGCTGCGTTCTCTCACTTCTCTCAGTGCAGATGGCATCTCCTCCTTATGCTGAGTATGGTGCTGGTAGTAGTGGAACAGAGGAAAATATGGTGCTCTACAGGAGTGAGGAAAGGGGAGGAAGGAAGGTGGCTTCCCTGCTCCAGGGTGGCGAAGCTGCCAGGCTGAAGTAAAAGGCAGTAGAATACCGTGGACTTCACTCTCAGCTGAAAGTGGGAGTGCTGGGCTATGCAGCAGTTTTCCTACCTTGAGGTGGTATGATGGTGGTTCTCAGCCAGCAGCTCTAACCACACAGTTAGATCTTCTTTTCAATCCCTGTGGGTGCCGTATCTTGTAGGTTTCATTATTATTGCTTTGCTTTGCAGTGCCGAAACATATTTGTTGGAGAAATGTCTTCAGAGTTAGAAAAGGATAAACAAAGACTGGCTCAAGCTGCCAGAACATTCTTCTATTACATGAGAGATCTTTCTTCCTCCATGAACACATTTATTGAGTTATACAACCAAAGTATGCATACCCAGATCCCCCCAGTAGCTGTGAAAGAAGATATTAACATCAAGGATGTATGTGGACAGATGTTCAGCGTATTGAAAGAGGTACAGTCTGTAGTGGATGCACAGCATAGTAATACACAGAAGGAGCCTATCTGCTCCAGGATTGCAACACCCATGTGTTGCTTGGCTGAGAAGAGTACCAACCTGCAAGAGTTGCAGCGGTCAGCTAAAGAGATGTTGCAGAATGTCCACTCACCAGTCCTTATCTCTGCACTGAAGAATAGTAATGTCCTGGGGAGCTTGGAGTCTTCTCTGGCCCTCCTGATGAAATCCCCCATCATGGATCTTCAGTTAAGTGACTTCCATAGAGAAGACACCAAGGGGCAAGAAGATGCCACAGTTTCTGGAAAAATGATGACTCCAGATCCTTCTAAAGGCACTGCAATAGACACTTTGAAAAAACTACAGGATGCACTAAAAACTGAGAACACCGACAATCCCGTAGGATCAGCAGCCGATCATTTGGAACAAATTGTCAAGGCCATGGAACCAACCTTAGATGTCCTTCAAAAGTGTAGAAACACTATGGAAATGAGTACTTGCGTATTTAAGAAAGTGGATGGCAAGTAGGGGTATGACAAAAGAATTTTCATTTCTGTCAGATACCTCATGAGTTTTCATACTACTTTGAAAGATGGCCTTTGTGCTAGACATGGGGTATGTTAGAACATAAGTGCAGACAGTAGTCAATTGGCAACCACTTGTAGTTTTTGCAGTGTTAAAAATAAAAAGAAAGAATGAAAGTCAGCATGGTTAAAAAATGACAGTTACAATTTCATTGTGTTAACTCCTTTCTCAGGGAGGTAGCATCTCCTGTCTCGGTAGCAAGATAGCTGTGTTAGGAGCTAATACTGCGCTCTCATTCTACTGCCAATTCAAATTCCAGAAAAGTACCTTGAGTATATCCCATGTGCCTTCCAAGAATCATTTTCCTTTCTTTGAGTCCCCATGTCCCTGGGGAAGAAATACCCTGACTGGCTAAGGAAGTGGGTTGAGCCAGCTCTGTATCAGTGGTTAGCGAGGCAGGAATAATAGCTGGGCAGATACATTCCCATTTGTAGCCAAAAAGCCAATGAAGTATTCATATTTAAATTTTTTTAGACAAAGAGACACAAATTCCTTTATTTTATGCTCCCATTTTTTCTTTTTTTAAAATTTTAGATAATGTTTACATAGTTGATGAGGTTGGGAAGGAATCAAAGTTAGGGAAAGTGGGTGTGATCATTGTTTCCAAACTTTCTATTTCTTCTCATTTCTGGGGGAGAGGAGAGATAAGGTAGGAAGCCATACCCAGCCTCCCAGCCACCACAGTACTCAGGGATGGGAAAAGGCTACCCAGTATTAACCCAGGGTCACAATGTGGCACACACTCTGAGGATTCTGCCCAGATGAATGTGATAGTTCTTAAATACTGTTGATCTTGCCAATCTGTGCATGAGGATACACTTCCAATGTCTGACTGGTTTTGACTGTTGGGTGTTGCAGCCCGGCCACACCTGGTCCATGCCTTGACATAGCTCTCACGTAATTCAGTGGGAGCTGAGACCTAGCCCAGCCCATTGTACACCCAGCTTGGCTCACTTGAGTACCAGTGGATGTGTTGGAGTCTAGCCCAGTATGACACTCCCCAGACCTAGTCCTCAACCTTGCTGGGGGAGACTGCAGCCACATGTAGCCCAGTGTCCCATTCTGGCTCTTGTGCTTGCCAGTGGGAACCCTGACCCAGCCAGGGCATTTCTTAGCTCCCCAACCAGGTCTGTTCCTAGCCACATATCTTGCATGTACCAATGGAGGTTACTGTTCCACATGGGTGAACCCACATAGTCCTGCACAGATTGTAACCCCAGAACAGATTGCCACATACTGGTTGGCGTCATGGCCCATCTTCACATTACCTATTCCCCTGTTCCAATGCTTGCTGGTGGGTTCCATGATCTAGCCTTGTAAGTACAGTGGCCTTGTCCATGGAAGAGGCTGTTGAGTCATTCCCTACTTGACATGAACCCTTAAATCCCTGCTTGTTGTACCTGTGCCACTCTGGACTTCTTGCAACCCCATATCCCCAAGTTCTCAGAGCATGCTGCCTGGCCTGAGTTTGCCAGTCACAGCAATGCAGTCTGTGGACCACAGATTCCTTTATATCCTGTTTTAGACATAGACAATGGCACTGGTAAAAAAGAAAAGCAAAGCAATAACTGTAGGAGCAGGGTTGTACTTCTTGCTGAAATCTGCAAAACAAAAAAAGCAAATCCGATGTTTTAGCTAGCAGAGATTAATGAATTCATTTCTCCTTTAGTGTCCACTTATTTAAAGAAAATTATAAATAAAAACATTTGAAATGCTGCGTGTCTTGAAATGCTACTTTAAAGTATTTCTGTTAGAATTTAACTTGTTTATTTTTTTAAGATTTATTTAATTTTTATTGCAAAGTCAGATATACCAAGAGGAGGAGAGACAGAGAGGAAGATCTTCCGTCCGATGATTCGTTCCCTAAGTGAGCACAATGGCTGGTGCTGTACCAATCCAAAGCAAGCATCTCTTTCAGGTCTCTCACACAGGTGCAGGGTACCAAGGCTTTGGGCCATCCTTGACTGCTTTCCCAGGCCACAAGCAGGGAGTTGGATGGGAAGTGGGGCTGCCAGGATTAAAACTGATGCCCATATGGGATCGGAGCATTCCAGGCAGGGACTTCAGCCACTAGGCAACCATGCTGGGCCCCATTTTCCTCATCTTAATGATGTTTATTACCGTGATGAAGGCTAACATTAAATTTGTTTTGAGCTCTTGTCTGATATTAACTCATTTAATCCTTACAACAAATCTATGAGCTATTTATTTTCATTGCCCTCATTTAAAACATTGTTTACTCTTATTTAGAAATCAGAGAGAGACAGATGGTCAGAAGTCAGAGAGGATTTCCATTTGCTTGTTCACGCCCCTCAAACCTGCAACAGACAGCTGGGGCTGACCAAAGTCAGGAAGGAGCCCTGAACTCAGTTTGGGTGTCTTTTGTGTGGCAGGGCCTTGAGCTATCACCTGTTGCCTTCCAGGGTGCACATTAGCAGGTAACTGGAATTATGAATGGAGCCAGTATGCAGGGTTCACAAGTGGCATCCTCACTACTGTGCCAAATGCCCACATATTGATGAAACTGTGACAGATGTGAAGAAACTGGCCAGAAGTCACACATCTAGTAAATAGTGTAGGTAACACTCGCATTCAGGTACTTTGACTCCACTCTATTCTTACGCATGCATTGCCAGTCCAAAAATCAGATATTCATTCACACATCTTTTTTTTTTTGTATTGCAAAATACAAGAAGCATTCACAGTGCTGACCTGCTGTATTTTGAATGTGGGTGTATGTGCACTGCCTATATATGCGCATCTCTCACAGGAAGTATGGGAAAGATTAACAGGCAGTGAGTATTGACTGTTGAAAATAAAGCTAGAAAACAAAGCATTACTGCCAGGTGTAAGCCCTGATTGAGAACACTTTGGGATGGAGAGAAGAGATGGAAACCTACAAATGGTCCACATAATGATTAGATATCCTCTTCAGCCAGTCCTCCTTGTATGTTTAGGGTAGAAAAGATGTTTGTGAGCAAAAAAGACTGCAATCTGATTGTCTTAATAACTGCTCATAGTTTTTGACAGGATTAACAGATGAATTAGAAATGTTTTCATTATTTTTATATGATGTATAAAATATTTGAGTTTCTTGGAATTTAAGTTTGGGCTTAGAATCTGTATCTATACCCATCTCTGTATCTTTAGCAATGTTCAAAACCCTGATTTTTACCAACAAGAAGGAAATTAGTAGTGGATATATCGTTTTATTTGGGATTTTGGGGAGCAAAGGTTGTGTTAAAGCTGTACAGAGTCCTGGACGCATTAATACCACTCTAGCTTGTTAGTAGAATGATTCTCAAATGTTTTTTTGGTTTTGTTTTGTTTTCTCCTCATGGAGGTTAGAGATTGCAGAGCCTTCCATATCCACCCTTTCAACTTTCCAGTAGATTAAGACTCTACTGAAGGGAATTGTCAGAAAAAAGTGATAGAAGAACAACAGTAAAAGCAGAAAAATGGCTGGGTTTGGAGGTGATTAGCTTCAGTTTTGAAGGTCTGTCCCTAGCAGTTTGAACTTGACCTTGATATTTGCTTTCATTGAGTCTCAGCATTCTCATCTATAAAACAAAAACATTTCATGGATTTTGGAAGTAGTGTTAATACTGCCACAGTTGCTACTACCTCATCCACCTCTTAACTCGTAGTTACATATAACTTACTATGTATTAAATGTGAGTACAGATATCCAGTGTTATTCTCAAGCCCCCCCCCCCAAATGAAATTAACACTATAATCTCTAATTCCCAAATGAGGAAAGTAAGGCCAAGGAGAGCTTAAGAATCTGTGTGCCCGCACAGTGACACAAAATCATGTTGAACTTCAGCAACTTAACTGTCAATTTTCATTCCTCATGGAGCTTAGGAAATTTAATAGCTTTACCACTCTTTCATCCCTGACACTTTTCACTTTGCTCCAAGGAGACCAACTCTGTTGGTTTTTCTCTTCTTGTCAGCCACTCCTCCTAAGGATTCGTTGCTTGTTTCCTCTCATCCTAGCTTATATAATTGGAGTATCCTGAGAAATGGTCATTGGGCAGCTTCTCTTTGTACTCCCCATGCAGAGCTCATCTCATCACAGGGCTTTGACTATCATCCATATTCCACTGACTCCAAATTTGTATTTCTAGTCCAAGTCATTTTAACTTTTAGGCTTATACATCCCTACTTCAACTGACTATTTCATATGTCCGATACATCTTACACTAAACCCCTATACCAAATCAGTGTTCACATCAGTACAGCAAGATCACTACACAAACTTTACATCCAGGTCTCTGCCATCCACAAGCCTCTGAACCTCAGTACATGCCAGCTCCATGTTTTTAGTTACTCAAGCCAAAACTTTGCAGCCATCTTGTACTCCTCTTTCTCTCTCTCTCCACATCCAGCATGTCAAGAAGTTCTCTTGCTTTAATCTTCACAATGTATACTGAACCAAATTATACTGCCAGTTCCACTGCCACCACCTTCATCTCTCATTGGATTATTTTTTTAAGAACTTAGGTACATAAAAGGCAGAGAGAGGATCTTCCAATGTCTGGTGCACTCCTCAAATGGCTGCAACAGCTTAGGCCGATCTGAGGCTAGGATAGTCCAACCGGGTCTTCTCCATGGATGGTAGAGATCCAAGCACTTGTTCATCTTGCACTGCTTATATATATTAGCAGGGAGCTGGATCGTAAGTGGAGCTTGAACCCATGCTAATACCGAATGCCAGGATCTCAGGAGATGCTCAAGGCACTGTGCCACAATACTGGCCCTCTTGTTTTGACTAAGTAGCCTCCTAATTGGAGACTCTTCTTTAACTTTGCAGTTTATTCTTAATGGAGATCTCAGACCAATTCTAATAAAATCTAAATGAAATCTTCTATATCCTCACCCAAAACAGTTCAGTAGCTCCCCATGTGATTAATAGGAAAAGTCAAAACAATCTTGCATTTGAGGCAAATTCTAACCATAATCTTTTTCTAGGAAACATATAGCAAGTAATGAGTATTCAACTTTTAGGATTTTACCTGGTAAAAAGTTGTCACCATGTTTAAAATACTTTCACAGAGTTTTTCGGTTTTATGGATAATGGTGGTTGAGTGCCAAGCACTGTCACATTTCTGCAAGGCAAGCACTGTTTCCATTTTATGAATGAAGAATGAGGTTCCGGTGTTGAGTCATTTACATAATGCCCCATTGCTACTCCTATATACCCAGGTCTTTATGGCTCCAAAGTCTGTACATTTTCCACATGCCATGTATTCTCCCAGTTTAGTTGTTGCTTATTCTTTCATGTGTTTATTTGAGACAGACACGTCTTCAAGGTCAATGTGATGTCACAGATAGGCAAAATTAATTTTAGAGATTTGAAGCCAATAATTAAACAGGTAGGTAGTAAACTAATGTTAGTAGTAATAACAGTTAAGATATTTTGGGTACTTAGTGTGTCACACATTGTTCTAAGGGCTTTCACATGCATTAATTTTGTCCACACTAGAATCTTAAAAAGTAATGTTTAAAAACGTGGTGTGTGTGTGAAGAAACTGGCACAGAGACTGAGCCACTGGAGTACGTTGTTATTATTTGTAATTGGCAAAGTTTACATGGAAAACAAGGCTTATTAGAAACAGTTGGTTGTATTTCTCTAGAAACATGTTAAGAATTTTGATTATGTGAAACATTTCAGCAAATAAAACTTTTCTTTATGAAGCCAACGATGCAGAACAGAGCATGTGTTTGTGGGTCTGCAGATTTTTGGCATAGATATGTTGCTGAAAGAAGCAGCAGTAAAGGGCAAATGACTAATTAACATTCTGTTAACATATTTTAAGTCTTCCAGTGTGCAAGGGCACATGTGTTTCTTTGGTAACAGGTATAGGTCATGTAGGGGTGATGGAAGAGTCAGAGGGGAAAGCCTTTAGCTTTAGATGATTTAATTTTTTCTTTTGCAAATGTACTCCTGATTTGACCTCTTGACTCTGAAGGTGAAGATTCCTGGGAGTATTTTGAATTTGATTTACAAATCCCCAGGACCAATTTTGACATAGATTGAAGCACAGGCATGCCAGCGCTCTTTAATGCACTTATCTTCTCTGGGAGAGTTACAGTCTCTGGACAGGCTGATTTAAAGGCTCACTGGTGCCTTTCTTGTGTTCTGCCTGTCAGATCCAGAGGAGAGGAAGCACAGTTCACCTGTCTTAGAGGGACTTTGAGGGACATTGCATACCTTTTGGCTTATGCTAGTGAAAAAAGAAAAAAAAGAAAAAAAGAAAAAAACAAAATTGACGAGTTGAGCAGTGGTCTGCTGAGAGGGCTAGTGTTTCAAGTCGAATGTGAGAATGTGTTAGTAGGACCAATAGCCACTAACTTGAAAATCAGGTCTGGGGATTCTACTGATCTTATTTACAGGAAATGTAACCAGGCATGAAATTATAAGCCAACATAAAGCTGGGAAGCTGGCTTCTTGCTTGCCCATGTCCTAAGGCACAGATTGCCTTATTCCTTGTCTTTACCAGGTCAGGTCAGACCATTCTCAGCACTCATGGCTTTCAAGAACCACATGGCTAAAACAGAAGCAATTCATTGTGTATGATCTAGTGACAAGCCTGGCCCCTGAAACCAGAGAACTGTAGTCCTTTTTGGCTTTACCAAACCAGAGACCCTTCCTTATAGCCCCCTTTTAAAACCCCAAAACGCCTTCATTCAACAAAATGGTAGCCCTTGAGACCTGAAAGTTGGCTATGCTCTTAGCTGTTGACAGATTGAATGTTCTCTTGCCTTCACCCCAAAACCTTGTCTTCATCATTTTGATTGGATACTAAGGACAGGGACTGAACTTTTAGTAACAAGGAGTGTTCACTTATGAGACAGACACACTACCACCTCTTCTCCGTGGTTCATACTCACTATTCCAAAGTGTTGGAATATGTTTACCCATTAATAAAAACGTTCCTTAGTTTCCTGAGAGGGGGGAGTGTAAATATTGTAGCAAGTTACAGGAAATGTTCTGAAGCCAGCAGACTTTTTGTTTTTAATTGTAGACATGAGTGGGTATTGACTGGGTCCAATAAAATGACTGTGCTAACAACCAGTCATTGAGGTTTTAGGGAAGCAAAACCCAGTCAGAGAATAGACCAGACTTCTCTGCAACTTTCAGAGTCCAGGGACAAAGACTTCCCTCCTTTAGATAATTTTGTAGCTGTTGTGCCTAGGAAAATGCTCCCGTTCCATCTCTGGGTGGATGATGTGATACATCTGATCTTTTACTTCCCGTTTCAATTTATAAAGAAAACACCAGCTTCTATGACCAGTGGTATTTTTTTTATGCTGTTTACAAGTTTTTCTCCAAAGGTTGCAGAGCTTCTAATTAGTGAATTTTCAAAATGAAAGTTTAGTCTGGTCATTTTCATTGCAAGTGACCATATTCCTGATCATCTGATGACTAAAGTGCCTAACTCTTGACTAGGGACTGAAATTGCTAGGAGATCTGCCGTCTCTAGGTCTTCAAATATTGGAATTCCTTCTAGGTATCTGATTCAAGTCCAAGTCACTTAGGGGTGTTAAAGAGAATGCTTCATTTATTATTGACCACATGGCATGAATTAACTCATGTGGCTAGAGACATGCTTTGTCCTTCTAAAACAGGGTACAGCATTTGCTACAGAACTCTTTTTCTGTGAAATCACTTGTTGGCAATATAGAAGGATAAAAGTAAATCTCCCTCTGCCTTTCTCAAGTGCCCTCCATCTGTAATTCTGCCTTTCAAATAAATAATAAACAAACATATTTTTAAGAGCCCTTATTGTAAAGTTGCCTTACTTCCCCTCAGGGAGAATGAGATCCTCGCTGCACACAGCAGCTCACTGAGTATAATGATTTTAACTATCTTGTATTGGCAAGGCCTCCTGTGACAATAGAAGATGGTTTAAGTGGGAACTTTGTAAGTCTTGGTTCCTGTTTTACTTTTAGAACCCCTTATCCTTGTAATAATGATGACAACATTGAGTTTTAGGGAGAAACAATTTTTTGTGAGTCTGGCATGATGGCTCAACGGCTAAATCCTCACCTTGCAAGTGCTTGGGTCCCAAATGGATGCCAGTTCTTGTCCCAGATGCTTCATGCCCAGCTCCCTGCTTGTGGCCTGGGAAAGCAGTAGAGGATGGCCCAAAGCCTTGGGACCACCTATACCTGTGTGGAGACCTGGAAGAAGCTCCTGGCTCCATATATATATATATGTACATATATATAAATGAAAAACATGGTATCTCTATAGTTTAATGCTCTTAAAGTATAAGATAAATAGGAGTCTTGTAATATATCCCCCCAATTTAAGGAGGAGCTACTGTAGTTCTATTACAGAAACTCATTTTCCTAGAAATAGATGAGGAGAAAGAGAGGGAAAACCAAGAAATGAAGCACATGTTCTCTAACCTGTCGGTTTCAACACTGGTGGAGACTGAGTTCCCTATTTTGAGCATTTTCCCCCTAACTACCCATCAGAAAAAAGTAACTTTTATAAAAGATTCATGGTTTATGATTCTGACAAAAGTAGATTCAATTTGGCTTAAGAATACCTTTTAGCAGCTGGCAGTTGTATGTGCTCTGGTTCCCAGCTGACTGCAGTTGCACCCAGTATCCTCTTGGGTAGTAGCTCATGTTTATGACCTCAAAGAACTCATAAGGAGGGATTAAAACTTCTTTCTTGAGGGAGAAGTCTTGCACAGGTGCACCGAGGCAGGTCTGTATGGTAAATAGTGTTTGGTTCCCAAACCTCTCTGCTTCTTCTCTTATGAGGGAGGCGGGGAGAAACTGACCAAATCGAATGGTAGCCCCTTTGTAGGCCTTGAAGGAGACATCCTTGGTGCCATGATGCACCTCGAAACACAGACTGTTGTTCTTCCCATCAGTGTTTTTCCTCAGCAACTGGATTGCTGAGGTCAGGTAGTAGTGTAGATACTTAAAAGGGAATGAATGCTCATACTGCTGTGGGGACCTGACCATCCTGGTCATGGCACTCATAAAGTCAGAGCGAACATTGCTGTTCAGTGTATAAATCAGGATGGCTACTGCATGGGAAATAGTCATGCTCTTGGGAAGAGCTTTTGCATGGTTCAACCAGGTCAAGTGGGCATTCTGCCATATCTTGGAGTAGTTCTTAAGGGCTTGTAGTTCTTTCATGAAATAATCTCCTTGTTTTAGCTCCTCCATGACCTCTTTGCTACAGCCTTGATACTGATCATCAAAAGAATCTGGTGCCAAGTCAAAGTTCATTTTAATTGCAATCTGGAAATAAAAAAAGAATCCCCATTTAAACATTCCAATTCAGACGGTCAAGATAGTAGCAACTTTGCTAGACTCTATGTAGCCAAATTTCCCTAAAACAAAGATTCGTTGATTGCACTGTATCTGTTTCTTTCTACATCACTATTAGCTAAACATGGACAAAAGGTGAACATACTCACCAAAAGGTCATCTCCTCTGGGAAGAAGTAACCCTGTTGATATCACTGAAATCACAATGCTTTTTGCATATTGAGTACATTAAATATAATTCTTCACAATTCATAGAAAAAAGAATTTTAAAAATGTTTGTGTTGGTGCAAAGAACCTGAAGTGCATAAATACAAAGGATCCTCCAAAATTCAAGGAGAGTATGTTATGAAAAACTATTCTGGATTTAATTTTTTCAGCAATAAACTTGCTTTTAAAAATGTTTATTCTTATTTCTATGAAAGGCATAGTCTTTCAAACACACACAACCAAGAGTCTTTCACCTGCTTGTTCATCTCCCAGATGCCTGCAACAGTGGTTTTGAGCTAACTGAAACCAAGAGGAACAGGAGCTCCATCCAGGTGCCCTAGGTGGATGGTAGGGATCCAAGTACTTGATCTGCCATTTCTTAACTCCCAAGGTCCGCATTAACAGAAAGCTAGATTGGAAGTGAAGACAGGGGCCAGGCATGATAGCCTAGTGGCTAAATTCTCACCTTAGAACCAACCGCTGGGATCCCATATAAGTGCCAGTTTGTGTCCTGGCTGCTTCACCTGCCATCCAGCTCCTTGCGTGTGGTCTGGGAAAGCAGTAGAGGATGGGCCAAAGCCTTAGGACCTGCAACTACATGGGAGACCTGAAGAAGCTCCTGGCTCTTGGCTTCAGATTGGTTCAGCTCTGGCTGTTGCAGCCACTTGGGGATTAAGCCAGTGGATGGAAGATGTCTCTCTCTCTCTCTGCCTTTTCTCTGTAAATCTGCCTTTCCAATAAATATCAATAAATATTAAAAAAATAATAATAAAAAGTGAAAACAGGGCTTGAATCCAGGAGCTCTGATGTAGAACGTGGGCATCCAAAGCAGTAGCTTAAGTTACTGCATCACAGTGGCCCAAACTTACCTTTTAATTCCATCTTTCCGTAGGTATTTAAATTGCATTCACGGTTTGGGTTTTCTTTCCCTTCCTTCCCCTTCATACTTTGTCATGAATATTATAGAGGTTATCTCTTTTATAAATTCATAGCATCTACATAAAATGTTTGAGTTTAATTTTAGAAAAATCTTAATGGATGTGTGTGTTAGGTTTTCCAAAGGGACTACTATTAAATTGCAACCCTCTAGTCTTCACAGATTGCTAAAAAACTGAGAACATAAGTGAAGGTTAATTGTCATTTTTATTATTGAATGAGGCTATGTAGGAGCACACATCTGCAGATTCAATATCAGGTGGGCCTGTTAGGAGTAAATTTCGGGGGCCAGTGTTGTGGCTTGTGGGTTAAGATGACTCCTGCAATGCAAGCATCCTATATAGGTGCTAGTTCATGTCCCAGCTTCTCTGCTTCCAATCTACCTTGCTGCCAGTGCTCCTGGGAAAGCAGCAGAGTACTTTGAGCAAAGCAGCAGAGTACTTGGGCCCCTGGAAACATGCGGAAAACAGAGAGAAAACTCCTGGTTCCTGACTTCAGACTAGTCCAGCCCAGGTTATTGTGGCTATTTGGGAAGTAAACCAATGGATGAAGATTTCACTCCATCTCTCTGTTCTATGTAAAAAACAAAAAAGGAAATTCCAGAATGAGGCCAACTTGCCCCTAGTTACAGGCCGTATTAGACTGTGACCTGGCCAGGTGACACTTTTACAAGAGGAATGGAGGACAAATGCCCTTTGCCATCAGATTGATGCCCATGAGGAAAAAGGAGCCCACCCCAGTGTACCCAGTTATTCCTACTGGTGCTATTCACTGAGTGCATGTCACCACATCCAAGGGAGCAGGTGAGTAAAAAGTGGATAAAGGTGCCTTCTTGGAAAGCAGGAAGGGGAAAAATATACTCTTTTCTAATAGACAGCAAGCTGAATATTAGTTGTTGACAGTACTGCTACATTGGTGTTAGGAATTTGAAAAGAAGTCCATGAAGTTTTCACATTATTTAGAGCCTTGGTTGAATTATCTAAATCCAAATAGTTACTCTTTCTTAGTAACAAAATGATGCTTTTTAGATAAACAGTGCTCACTGTAGTTAGGTTAAAAGATTCCACCTAGTCAATGTTAAGGATGTTGAGAATGAAACTCAAAAAGGATACCATTGGATGTTATTCCTGTATTGTTTATGAAACATCTTTTTGTTGTTTGACAAATTTTTAAGACAGATACATTTTAACCAGGGCTGGTATTATGGTATGGTTGGGTTACGTGAGTGCTGGCAGGAGTCCTGGCTGTTGCATTGCTGCACCAGTGCTCTGCAGATGCACCTGGGAAACTTCTTGGACCCCTGTGCCTGCATGAGAGATAAGAATGAAGCTTCTGGCTATTTGAGGAGTAAACAGCAGATGGAATTTCTCTCTGTCACTCTGTCTCTATCTGTAGCTCTGCCTTTCAAATAACTAAGTAAGCCTGTGTAAATAAATAAACTTAACCCATAATTCCCTTTAGTAGATTGTAAAATAGGTCTACCGAATCTATTAAGCCAAACCAAATGAAACCAGTCGTATCCTTTGCTATCACGTCCCATGATAAACTTCAACATTTTGTTAATGTATTATTAGATCAAAATATATTCTGTCATCTTTAATCTCAGAATATTTTTATAGAGAGCTTTAAATTAGCATACTTAAAACAAGTTGATCTCTATAGTTTAAAGAAAGATAGATCAAATTTATTTTGTGTTATTTGCTTTATGGAACCAGTATTTAACTTTAAATGAGAACCAAGAAAATAACTATATGCCACTGACTTTCATAATTACATATTTATAAATAAGAAATTTATAATTTTGATAATTGCTTTCTATTCTCACTAGTAATAATGAGGATATGTCAAAAAGTTTGTGAAAAGTGAAATTAAAATATTAATTTGGTGCAAAAAAATTTGAAATCCATACCTTCAAGGATCTTTTCTTGGAAAATGTCGTAATATTGAAAGAAAATGTATGGATTTCAAAATTCTTCTGCATCACAGTATACTTATCTTTTAATTCCATTTCCTGTGAACTTTTGCAAGCACCCTTGTATTTATTAAAATGTTTCAATGAAGTTAGATCCCAAGTGCATAAATTTGGGTCACTACAAGTTTGTTGACAGGTGAGTGCTCCATTGGAGCACTGAGCATAAAAAGATTAGACCCCCTCTTTTCCCTCCCCCACCTGCATCAGCCCCTACCTCAGAACTCTCCGTGCGACTCTGCAGGCCAGAGAGCAGCAGCAGGAGGGGCAGCTGTCCCCTAAGAAGAAAGCTTCTCATGGCTCGAGCTGCAGTGATCCCAGGAAGAATCCTCCAGCTCCTTTTGGTCAACAGGCGGCAGTGGGTTGCACTGAAAGCACTTCTTTGCTCTTGCCACTTCATCTTCTCTTGGGTTTTCTTTGAGTGAATCTCAGCCAGAACTCTGAGTGATCCTTTCTAGGTAGGAACTTCTGTTGGCCACCACCGCCAACCAGCAGCTTTTCCAGGGACTCAAAATTAACTCCAACTTCTTTGCTCGGCTAAAATTCCTGTGGAAGAGCCAGATGTGTGCACCAAATAAGGGTTTTGAAGGAGAACTCATTAGTTTGCAGTTAAACACACACACACACACCCTGTATCTGGTTTGTATTCAGGGGATTGCCAAAGGCCAGTTAAGGGTCAGGCTCTGCAGTCCAGCCTTAATTTTCTAGCACTGCAGGAAGAATGATCTGCCCAGTGTTTGGGGCCAGATCCATTATCGTTAGCCCCAGGCTTCCATTGTGAGTAACAAGATTAGAGCATGCAAGGTAGCTGGCACGATTCCATGTCAAGGTGGGACTCTGTCAGGCGCAGCTGGTACTGCTGATAGGCCCTGCCCTGAATGAACTGCCATGCCTTTTAGAGTGATTCTCAGGAAATAGGCTGTATTTGCTGCTTTTCCATGGCACATTTAAAACTCTGGTAGATTGCACCTGTTCTCTTCTGAAAATATTAGGTTCTTGCTCCACACTGTGCTAAATGAATTCTGACAGAAGGCTGGTTAGGCACCAGTACAACTGACAAGAACTGAAAGTAGGATTTGGCATGCGAAGTTAACCCAGTACAGGGTTCAACACTTGCCTTCAGGCACTTCTCTTTCTGAACATCCTTCCCCATTCCTAACTCCTGTGATAGTTGTTTTTCTTGCTAGTATTTTCCATCTCAACTTCCTGATTCATCATCTGATTGTTCAGGGAAACTGAATCCTATTTGGAAATGCTGCTACTCATTTTTTTTTTCTCAGCATGGTAAATATTTTTTAATCTAATTTTTTTAGTAATGATAGTAGTTCTGTGATACTAGCAAATATTTTAGATAGTGGATATTTTTAGAGTATCTAGAAAGCCTCAAATGAGGAAACAAAGCTTCCCATGACTCCTGACCTAGAGAAACTACCATATAGTGTTGAACCACTATAAAAAGAATGAGAATTACAATTAAAAAATTGGGATTGCGAGTGCAGTTCTATTCATAATTCTGGCCGTATTAATCTAAAGAGGAATCTGCTGAGCCTCAATTTTCACAACTTTATAGAATCACCAGAATGAACAGGCAATAGTAATTTCCTTCTGTTGGGAGAACACTGTGTTTCAAGATCCTTTTGCCTATTATCTGAAACCACGAGACACCTCACAAAGTAGCATCTTAATCTCTATGTCATAGATGTGGTTGCTGCGGCCCTTTAAAATTTGATGTCAGTTTGCATAGACATTTTTCTCTCCTTTCCAGCCCATCATTTCCAAAAGTTCTAGACAGATGGGTCCCTTTATTGTCTGTAAAGCATTTGCTTTTCCTAATGTGACTGGCACTTCCAGAGGAAGAGCACTGGAGGGCAGTAAGAACTTTTGTATGCTTGCCATTCCTTTGTTTACATCGTCAGCTAGTGGTTCTGGTGCAGAGCAGAGAAGGTGCCATACCTTTCTTCTCTCTAATACTGCTAATACCAATCCATCCACACCAAATCAGCCATTCCTAAAGCTAGTCTGCAGATAATTTCATAAATTCTTTGTCAAATTATGAAAGTTAGAGTGCAATAATGTTTGAAGACTAAGAAAAAATGGTACTAGGAACTTCTACATGCCAGATCCATATTCATCGGTTGCTGACATTTTGCCATGACTCTATCATTCTCTCTTCTTCCTAAACCACTTTAGAGTAAGTTACAGACATCATGAACCCCTAGATTCCTCAGCATTTATTTCATAAACCAAAGACCTACTCATACAGCACCATTGCCAATGTCACTTATATAATCCTGTTCTCTAATTCATAGGCTACTTTCAAAGTTCATTAACTGTTGCTCTAAAGTCATTTGTATCTCTTTTCTAGATCAGAATTTATACCCAGTGGCTTCAGTTCTTTAGCTTGCTGAACTGGAATATTTGCTCAGCATTTATTTTGCCTTTTGAACTTTACATGTTCAAAAAGTATCAGTTTGGGAGTGTCTCTCACTCAAGGCTTGTCTGTTAGTGTCTCATGATTAGATTCAGATTATGTAGTTTTGGCCAAAGAGATGTCCTGTTCTCGGGAGATACTTGCATTAATCCTTTCAGTTCGTGTTGCAACATTTAGTTGTCAGGTCAATCACTTCATTATTGTAACTGGCTCGTTAGCAATACGCTGGTCATCTCATGTGTTGCCTCACCTTTCCTATTTTCAGTTCTTTTTTAAACACGGGCTCTTAGTGCCAGGAACGAGTTCTGTCTTCCTCTGCTGACTGTGACTTACCCTCTCAGCCCTGATGACGGAACAGCTTCTGCTGCATGTGCCTCACCTACAGCATTGGCATTCAATAAATATGTTTTGTATATATGAGCACATTCATGTTTCCAGATTTTAGGACCTGGGAATTTCCATCTCAGAAAATCTATTCATTCTGAGATCGACTAGACAGAATTCCTAGTAGCTCATAAGAGACTTTGTCTCACAGGCAAGATACATGTCCAAGTCTGTGCATAGCTCTGGAGACGCAGTGGAGAGGCAAAGATCCAACTGAACTCTGGGACCACCTCAACACTTCGCTGGAGCAGAGTGATTGAGAATGCCGAGGAAGATGGCAACCATATATCTTGGCTTGTTTTCTGTTACAGACTACCATAGACTGGGCAATAAAGAAAGAATACGATTTGTTTAACTCACTGTTCTGAGCCTGGGAAGTTGGTGAGTGTAGCCGTGAACATGGTGAGAGTCTTCTTTCTGCACGCTAACGTAGTAAAGGGGCTTTCCATGGCAAGATAGAACAAGTGTTAACAGCTCCAGGTTTCTATCTGTATCCTGTGTGGATTGCCACTGCCCTTTTTTTCTGCATGGTTTCTGATTAGTCTGCTCAGAGGGTGTAATTTAGAAAGGCCAAATTTTTGATGGGTCATAGTAAATAATTTCTGTGTCTCAGAAGTCTTTTACTTGGAGCAGTCTCCTGCTAGGGGTGCCTGGGTTCACTGAGTCCTGGCTCTAGTTCTGGATTCCAGCTTTCTACTAATTAACGATGATGGCTCAAGTGGTGAGATTTCCTGTTCTCGTGAGGAGCCCTGGATTTGCCCAGTTCTTGGCCTCCGTTGGCTGTGTCCTGTTCTTGGTGGGCATTTGGGGACTAACTTTGGAGCTCTTTCTGCTTCTTGAATAAGTAAGAAGCTTTCCGTTTGAAACTTTCTTTTAAACTGTCACTCCACTCAAAATAATGGCTCTGACCCAATTCTCTACTTTCCCTGAATTCCAAACCACTCCCCTGAAATGTGAGAGTGAGCTAGTTTCTCATATCCTCATTCATGGCCCTACCTTGAGCTTCTGTCCTCTGCTGAAACCCAATGGCCTTTCTTGTCAAAGTAGGTATTATGAGCTTTGTTGTCACTGTCACTATGCCTGTAGTGGTGGCAAGAGTGAGCTGTTTCTTCGTGGATGAAAAACAGAAAAATGATTAATTCAAGCTGCAGCTATTTTCCTTAGATGTTGTATCTGAAGTAAAGTCCATTTCACCAATTTAAAACTTAATTTTCTTTAAAAAATGATATCATCTATTTGAGAAATTAGTACTCTTCTCATGAATAGAACATTTGTTTTATTCTTAAAAAAATTTAAAAACCTGGCAAGATACCACTTTTGCTCTCAGAGACATGTTGTGAATCTTACATTCAGAGTGAATCATATCACATGACTCACATTTCTTTAATCACTTGGTTTTTTTTTGTTTTTTCTTCTCACCAGAGGAGAAACTATATCAGTCTACCTAACTCTAAAGGTAGCAATACATCAAATGACAGTTACATCAGTTTCGTGTAGTCCTAGTTCACTCACTGTTAGAATAATCCCCAGCCCATGATGATCAGATCTCTCCACTGCCCTTCCCTGATACTTGAAGACTGTTCTGTTCATTCTGATTTTCCTTTTGGAGACTCAGCAGCGTGACTCAGCCGCTCCACAGAGGAATGCGACTTCCAGACTGTCAGCCTGGCCATCTTCCTTCTTCTGGGTCTCAGCAAGTCAGTGACCTTGTGAAGTGTGTGCTAAATGTTGTTTGTGTTTGCTCTTATTTAATTTTCTGACCACCTTTTTTGATAACAGTATAAACGTCACTTTGAGTTTACTAATGAGCTGAGGTTTCAGGTAACTAAAATAGCTCTGAATCCGCTTACCTAGTTTCTGTTCTCTTATTGCCCAGGTGAGTGCAGAGGAATTGGCCTTTGGTCTTCACCCCTGTGACCAGTGCCTATGACCTTTCCACCCTGGGTTTTGCTTCTCTGTTTTATTCTTGGTTATATGGAACGGTAGTACCTAATGATTCCTTGGATTTAGCTTCCTCTGAACTTGCCACATTTGCTGAGTTCACAACTACTCATTTGTAGTGTTTGTGACTATGCTCTCGCCCAAATGGTTCTAAATCCAGCTTTAGCATCTCTTGATCTATTAGCACTATTTCCTGTTGGGGTTTGCTCTCTGAAGTCCCTGCATGACTAAAAGATGCAGTTGTTTAAGAGACAAATATATCTGGACTTGAATCTGATTTTGCTTTCTGTAGTTGGATGACCTTGAGCATATAACTTAACCTCTTTGAGTCTCAGCTTACACTTCAAGAAACGGGGATGATACTGCCCATCACAGATGGCCACTATCAGCACTGATGTGACAAAAGTTTGTTTAGGATAATGTCTATTACACAAAGTATATTCAATTAATGGCAATCATTGCCATTGTTTTGTTGCTATAATTATTACCGCTTACAAAGTTGGTAACCCTAAATGGATATCTTTGATATTCTTAGTCCTATCTGCTATCACTACCCAGTCACAACCATATCTGTGCATTAACAGTTTCTTGACAAATGGACCTCACATGTCCATGTTATCTGCTCTGTTCAGTCAGTTGAGTGACTGCTTAGCTAAGACCTTGGGGAATAGGGAAGAGTGAAATAAAATTTAAGTGTTAGATGGCAGGCCTTTAGAGTTCTTTTCAATTGTAATTATATAATTCCTTTAGGTAACAACTGCTCAACATTTTTTAATTACTCAGTTTTTTTTTTCCTTTTAAGCAATCATGTAGGTTTAAGGATTATTATTTCCTCATGCAAGGAAACTACATATAGCATGCCTCACATGTTTTTGAAGAGAGCCTTTGTGAATCTGCATGTTTAATATGTTAAATTATAAAAGTGTTAATTGAAAGACAACATTTTATAAA